CCCCTATTCATAAATGAAAAAAGCTCCCATTCTATGTTAAACAAGAGCAGGTGTGCTAAAAGCCATGGCAAATTACAGTTTTTCTTATGGTAATTAATAAATTATAAGCCACAGGCATCCCTGCAACAGGGGGAGAAAGGCCGTCTGGCTCCTTATTGCATTCTATCCTTATTGATTTCTATCCAATACACCAGATCGATTGCCTTACAGGTTGCGTTATCTGGAAAGAGCTCCTCTTTCAAAGATGCTTCATTGGTTTTTCCCCTTTTAAGTTTTGTTTTAAAGTTTTAAGTTTTGTTTTAAAGTGTATAACACCATTTTGGGAATTTCTCCAAGGTTCTTCTTGCCTTACAGGTTGCGTTATCTGGAAAGAGCTCCTCTTTCAAAGATGCTTCATTGGTTTTTCCCCTTTTAAGTTTTGTTTTAAAGTTTTAAGTTTTGTTTTAAAGTGTATAACACCATTTTGGGAAAAGCCTACCTGGAGATTTTGGCCCATCGTCAGGTGAAGTCGTGTCTCCGATGGGGGACGAAGGGAGCCCTGTCGGTGCGTTCGGTCCTATGCGTCTTTCATAAGGACGAGGTAGTACTTAGAACAGACCCCACCTTCAGTGCCAAAGTTAATTCTGTCTTCCACAACTCCCAGGAGATATATCTCCCTTCTTCTTCTTCTTCTGCCCGGACCCAGTCCACGCCAAGGGGAAGATTGGACACACACTAGATGTGCGTAGGGCACTCAAGAGTTACATTCATCGGACCGTTTTCTTCCGCAAAACAGAGGCTCTCTTCGTCAACGTCTCTGTCCCTAACAAAGGACAAAATGTCCAAATCAGCCCTGAGCGCTGCAGTGAAGGCCTGTATTGCGGGGGCGTATAAAAGCTGCGGTCAGCAAGTACCCCCCGGTATCATGGCCCATTCTCTCCGTAGCGCAGCCACTAACGCGGCACTCTGCAACAGAGCATCGATTGCAGAAATCTGCAGGGCAGCAACCTGGCCGCCTCTGTCTACATTCATCAGACACTATGAAATTCATATATACGATTCGGCAAAGGCGGCCTTTGGCAGAAGGGTTCTGCAATTTGTGTTTTTTCACATGCGGACGACCTCCCATCCCAACATTAGGGACACTGCTCGGGAAGGTCCCACACAGGATGTCCTCCAACTCAGAGGGAGAACGACCATTGGTACTCACCGTGAGGGGTCATTCTCCTCTGAGGATTGGAGGACATCCCGGCCCCCCCAGGTCGCCGTCATGCGTAAGTATTGGAGACTAAGTTTCTACATTGCCTACGTTCTGACTGTACTACTATCTTATGTGTATAACCCTATTGTAGAAAGAGAGAAGTTAAGAATTTCCTGTACGTAGTTATGTTCTTTTAAAAGGATGTCGTTAATAGGTTATCAACCTTTACTGCTTTTCGGAGTACCCGAACTGAGGAAAGGGTGACTCCCACCACAGGAAACAGGAAGTTCTTTTGTAAGTCCTGCCTCCCTGAATGATGGATGGGAATCACCCACACAGGATGTCCTCCAATCCTCAGAGGAGAATGACCCCTCACGGTGAGTACCAATGGTCGTTTTGGTTGATGGTAATTGTGAATGCCACAGGCCACCGAGTGAGTATCAGTGCTTTAGAAGATTTATTCATTTATTTCCATTTATATTCCGCCCTCCCCGCAAGTGGGCTCAGGGTGGATCACAGAGCAAAATCTAAGACATCATAAAAATGTGAATACATATCAAATATAACTTACAAAACAATTAAAATAGTTTAAAATAGCATAAATTAAAACAGGTCACACTGTTCATATGCATAGATTTCAAACTGGTGCCATTTTCTTCTTAATCTGGGCCACAGAGAGATGGTAAACTTCAGCGAGGGGGGAGCAAGATTTTACTGGACGCCCACCACCTCAGCCAGAGGCCTGACGGAACACCTTTGTTTTACACAGGCTTCCCAAGTACTTACCATGATTCGGCGGGGGACACAGACGTCCTCGCAGGATCATTCCTGCGGGGACAACAGACGCGCCGCACCATGCCGTCGCCAGGAAGTGACACGGTGCGACGCTCTGGAAATGGGGCTGGAAACTCGATGGTACCATCGAGTTTTCAGTCCCATTGCCAGAGCGTTGCCCAGCATCACTTCCTGGCGACGGCATGGTGTGTTACAGGGAAGAATGGTCCGGCCGGGGAGCATGTTTCCCCCGCCGGATCACGGTAAGTACCTGGGAACCTTCGTTTTACAGGCCCTGCGGAATGGTAGGAAGTCCCACAGGGCCCTGATCTCAGATGGGAGCATGTTCCATCAGGCCAGGGCCAGGGCAGAAAAAGCCCTGTTCAAGGCTAAGCGGACATCCCTTGGGCTGGGGACAACCAGCAGGTCTTGATTGGCAGCGCTCGAGGTTCTCCGGGGCACATACGGGGAGAGGCGGTTCCTCACTTGCGCTTTTCTGGTTATTAAAAAGCCCCAACAACAACTCAAGACACTTTGCATCATAACATTTCAGAATTAACAACAAGGAGATAAATACAATATAATTTAGTATTTAGGTTATGCATAGTGCCCTTCACTTAGCTCTCAGTCTTGGGGGCTCTGGAAGTAGGTGTGAGTGGCACACCACAGCTTACCTTTCCGTGAGCATACATCAGCCCTGTAACTGAAGCCTGAACTCAATTGATCTGACGTTTTATTGTGCTTTATAACTATAGCAATAAAAGCCTGTCATCATCTGGTAGGAGGTAACTATTTGGGCAGATTTGGCTGGATTTTTAACCTGTGTGGTGTTTTTATCTTGTTAACGGGTTTTTCTGTTTTTGTTTTATGTCCTCGCAACTGGTGGTGTTGGCCACCTTGATTCCAAGGAGATGAGATGGCATATAAATATTTTAAGTAAACTTGGTCAAAATTGTATAACTGGATAAAAAATATTACTTGAATGTCCTAATTTGGCACTACAAGCTTGACTGTGGGAAGATTCTTTTTTGAAGGAAATGTGTATAAGCGAAATATAATATGTATAATGATAAAATAATAAAAAAGTGTTCAAACAAAAAAAATATTTTAAGTAAATAAAAATCCCAGTGGGTTTAAATATTGGCCTGAATTTCTGAAGTCAGCAGCAGGTTTGCTACTTGCTGAACTTTCAGACAGAACACAGCTCAATATAAGAAAAAAGGTTTAGAAACAGTTTTGGTACCTGCCAAAGTGAGCTTTGGCTCATGGAAACTTATACCTTGGAAGATTTTGTTGGCCTTTAAGGTGCTCTTGGATTCGAGTTTTGTGCATGTGGGTGTGTTTTCATTTCATGAAAACTGAATATTCAGGAACAGGATCTGAAATACTTGCAAGGCAACCAGGCTCTTGTGGGCCCCAGCCCTTGCACAGGAGTAACCGAGAACTGGGTCTGCCTTTATTCTTATTCAAGAAGCAGCATGTTGTGGAAGGGGTAAGGGAGAAAGGGAAAGCATTGGCTCAACTGGCCATCTGTTTCTGTGGGGATGGGCTGCAGTAGGGGGAAGAGGCTGAGCTGAATTGGGCCCCCAAGCTAACAATTGCTGAGCCCTAAATGTATGTGGGTAGTTTTCCTTGATTTGCCTAAATACTTTTCTTCATCATTTAACAATTTCCTTCCAGTCTAATAATACCCGTTTTGCAGTCGGTATTGAAAACTGATTAAAGCTAAGCAGAATGATCAATCAGTATTGAAAATTGATTAAAGCTAAGCAGAATGATCAAAATGACCAAAAACGTCGGGTCAGTCACAGTTGTTTCAGAGCTGTTCTCTCAAGAGCAGTTCTCTCAGAGCTCTCTCAGCCCCACCTCCTTCTCAGGATATCTGTTGTGGGGAGAGGAAGGGAAGGAGATTGTAAGCCACTCTGAGGGAAAGGCGGGGTATAAATCCAGCTCTTCTTCTGCATGCCAGGCAGGTGCTCTTCCACTGACCGGTGGCCCCTCCTCCTTTTTATTTTAAAAAGAAGACAATCCAAGCATATTCTCAAGGTGTTTTTGACATTGTTTACCTGACTTGAATCTCTTGCTGTTATGCTCCCACAGAGAGGTGCTGTTCTTAGTGAACCAGCCATTCAGGTGAGGAGAAAAGGTAAAGGCAAACAGATCTGGTCACTTGAGAAGCTGGAGAACCGACTGGTAGACATGAGGGATCTCTATCAAGAATGGAAGGATTGTGAGGAGGACAACATGGTATGTAGGGGTGGGAGGGGCTGAAGAGTAATTGCTCTCCTAATTAGCAGAGGGACAAATAAGCCCTTTGGCAACATCTTAAAAAGGTTTTTTTTTATCCCTTCAGCAAAATTCAAAACAGCATAAGATATTCGTATAACATTTTTTTAGTTTTGTTCTTTAAAAAAAAAAAACCCTGTAATAATGAAGAACACGTCTCAAATAAGATTGTCTAGTCATCTGTCTTAGTAATTGCCTAATAGAAATGAATCCAAAAAGCTGTCCATATGATATGTTCCCTGAAATCAACAGCCTGTCCAGCAATAAGGAAAAAAGAGTTATCTGCGAGGTAATGCCATTTCAATGGTATCATACACCAAACCCCTAGTGCTGTTTCCCAACTCTAGTATTAGATGTTCAGTTGGACTGAGGGAATGAATACAAGTCCTGCTTTACAATTGTTGAAACAATATATGTGGAGTCCTTGGAATTCTTAGAACTGTGAACGGGCTTTGTAAATGGCCAAGTGTTATTACCAATTTAGAGATAAATATGAGAAATCCAGTTACTTAGAAAAGCAGATACCCAGTTTTGGAAAAAGTAGGGGCTATAAGAAACTTAAAATTATAAATGAACAAGGGGCGGGACCCGCGATACTCACGGGGGGGGGGAACCATCACACTTATGAGGCAGAGGAGGAAGCAGCAGGAGGAGGTAAGTTCCCCCCCATCACGCTGGTTCCCCCCGTCTCCTCCACCCCCCCGCTCTGTCACTTTTGGGGGGATTTAAGTATCCCCCTGATATTTTTTCCGGGTTTTTAGATTTTTGTGCACACCTGGGGACTGCCCCAAGTGTGCACAAACATCTCCCTTCCCCCCAGGTGCCCCCGATGTGCGGAAATAAATATCTGCACGCAGGGGGCATGTTCGGTATTAAATATATAGATATACTAAAAACATGTTGATGATGCAAAAATACACATGTATCATTTTTTTCTGCTGTATATGAAAGCCTGATAAATCTGATATCTCATTTGAGCATACTTCATTTACAGTGTAGTCCCTAATCAGAGTTTCATGCTTCTAAGTCTATTGAAGTTAATGGGCTGAGAAGGTAGCTTCAGAAGGTATCTGTGTTGCTCTGCAGGAGAACAACTAGATTTGCATCCAGTAGCACCTTAGAGACCCACAAGATTTTGGAAGTATAACCTTTCGAGAGGTTAAGCTCCCTGGGGGACTTTGACACCCAAAAGCTTTTACCCCCAAAATTTTGTGGGTCTCTAAGGTCCTACTGAACACCAATCTATTTGGGTATAGTTTTGTTTGGGGGTTGCTCTGTGAATCTCTGTAGCCTCTGCTACTTTCTCAAACGTGACTCTTCTCAGTATAAAAGAGGGGGGGGAGTAGGTGACTGGAGGAAATAAAAAGGGAGCCAAGAGTATGTGGGGAATGCAGTTCATTTTGTACGAGCAGAAAAAGTTGGTGGGAGTGCATTTCGGTTAGGAATCTGCTTTCGCTATGTGTGGTATGTTTGTGTTTTTAAGCTCTCTCTCGAAAGGATGGCCATGAGGAAGCTTTTGAAGAGCAGGGCCATTGAAAATGGGAATGAGTGGGGATGTCTGGTACGTAGGATTGACACATCAAACATCCCCACTCATCCTTCAGGAGAACCATTCACCCAGGGCAGCACAATGTTTGTCACACTTCTTTTTTTATCGGATTCTAGGTCATGAGGTCTTACTTCAGGAGAGCAGACCCTTTCTATGATGAGCAAGAGAACCACAGCCTTATCGGGGTGGCCAATGTCTTCCTCGAGTCCCTTTCTTGGGATGTGAAGCTCCAGTACGCCGTTCCAATTATCAACCAGAAAGGAGAGGTTCGTTTAAGTAGCCAATTGCACAGTTAGGACATAGACACATCATTACACAGTGAGACATACTTTTATTACAGTTCCTGGGATCAATTTACCATTGATTCTCCATCTTTGATGTAACTGGCTGTAGCCGGTTACATTTAGCTGCGTCCTAATCTTGCATTGTGCTTTTTGCTGTTGTTCCCAAATGGCTTGTAATGTGATGTCATTTCTATGGTTGGCCACTGTTTATGTAAGTGTCTTTACAATTGTTAATGGATATTGAACTTGGATTTATGATTATTCACAGCCGATTTCTGATATGTGAGGCAAATTGGATTGGCTGTTCAGTAGAACGTGACTTTCCCGCTTCTTAGATGCCCCCGGAAATGCTGCTTCGGGGGAATGGGGGATCACCATGAATGGGAGGCCGAGTCGGAGGTCTGCCATGGGAGGGGGGAAATGTCAAAAAAAGAAACCCTACCCTTCCCTCCAGTTGGTTGAAATCTCCACTGGATCCAACCCATTTGTTGGTGTGCCTTCCAGTGGTTTGACTCTGGCTCTAATCTTTGAGATGTCCTGGAGTACTGGTGTTGTGCCGGAAGACTGGAGGAGAGCAAATGTTGTCCCGATCTTCAAGAAGGGAAAAAAGATGGACCCAGGAAATGACAGGCCTGTCAGTTTGACATCACTACCTGGAAAAATTCTAGAGCAGATTATTAAACGCTCTGTCTGTGAGCACCTTGAACAGAATCCAGCAGTGCATTTCCACGGCCAACAGGATTTCTATCCACAGAGTACAACTTATCTTCCCCTGCCGTTGCACACGATTCCCTCCCCTGTGCTGTTTCTGGGGGAGTGTGATCATTTTAGGTGGGAGAGGGAGGGTGGGGAAAGCATGCTCTGTGGACAGACATCTTTCATTCCATGTAAACTTGTTGTTGAATGGAAGTCAATGTAATAATGATGGAGCCAAGCTGTTGTGGATGTGTTTAAGTGTAGCTCTTCGGACAATAGATTTGAGGCTCGCATGCACTGCCATGGAAGTAAATTTCTTTTGCGTAGACAGCTGGCCTGCCAGGAGTAGACTGAGTTTGGGCCACTTCTCCCTAACATCTGGTGAAAGGATTTGTGGGTCCTGTATGCAGGAGCATTTGGTACTGGGAGCCCCATGTGTAGTCTTAATTGGGTACTGCCCAATTAGGCTTATGTTTCTGTGCAAAGTGGGAAGGATGCAGGGCTGAGGACATTCTTCTAGCAGCTCTGCTGCTTAGAAACTTCATAATAATGAAGCCAGGCTGTCCCCTTGGGACCTCCTCCTCAAACACCTGGAACTTGTTTCTGGCTGTTGGTTGAGTAGCACTGCTCCCATACTGGGAATCTGGGAAGCTTTACTCTAAACTAGTTTGATGTACAATAAGGCAAGCTGCAGACACAGATAAAAAAAAAATAGTATACATCTCTGTTGGTTCCTAATCTCTTATGTCTCCCCCCATTAGATAGCAGGTCGACTGCACGTTGAAGTGGTACGTGTGAGTGGTGAGATCGGCGAGCGAATCGTAGGAGGCGATGACAGCATGGAGGCCTCCACTGAGAATGATCTACAGGAGCAGAAGCTGGTCTGCATGGTGAGTTCCTTGCCTCTGGAAAAGGACCAAGCAGAGTCAAGGAGTTGACTCCAGCAGCTTCTCCCTGTCTGTCCTTCATCGGCTTTAGGTTGCTTATAGAGTCTGAAGACGAAGCATGGCAAACCTCTCTGCAGAAGGTGGTTTGAGCCCCTAAGACAGAAGGGCAGGTTGCAGGATGAACAAGTTTACAGTGGCTGAATATCCAAATCGTACTCCACGTTGAGCGAAAGTAGCCTCGTTAATCATCAGTAATTATAGTATTTGAAGTTTCAAAGCATCCTCTGAGAATTGTATCCACTTAGAATGCATTCAGATATCATGGTAAAACCATGAAAGAGGACATTTTTTTACTCCTTCTCCATTGGCATGTCATTGCCCAGATGGATATAAAGAGCAATACTGCTCAACAAACCGTATTTTGTCTTCTAGAAATTCAGATGTCGTAATAAACCAAACTTATTTCAAGCGTAGTCAACAAACCAGTTGCAAACTCTAGTTTAAAATCTCAGGTTGGTGCCAGATAAAAACCTAACCAGAGTTTGATCAAACCACACTTCATCAGTCATGTTTTATCTCAATGTCCAAATGTCGCCTTAATCTATTTCATTTTGATAATAAAACTGTGTACTGTTTAAAGAGTATGATATTCCTGATTTCCATGAAACAAAAGCCATTTTTGTAAAGCATGATTACTTTCAGATTAACAAGGATTATGTCTGCAGTATTTAATTCCTCTTGAGCAATATATGCGCATCAAAGATGCAAGGAAAAAAATAATGAGAACTTTCAGGGTTTTGTTTCCTCTGAAACAATTCAGCTGTTCTCCCCAAGGCTCAGTGTTCAGTGACCCCTAGTGGAGATTTTCAGACACAACTTTAATCAAGAAATGTTTTGAGATGGGTATGATTTAAATAGTGCCAGCTGTTCAGTCCTCTTGCTAAGTTATTAGTCTTAGCAAACCAGGTTTGTCTTGTGCTATATTTTGAACATTGCTGCATAACTGGCCGGCTTAAAATATCATTGTTTGTTTGTTTTGTTTGTTCTTAGATCAAAATCCTTCAAGCCACAGGTTTGCCCCAGCACCTCTCCAACTTTGTGTTCTGCAAATATTCTTTCTGGGATCAGCTGGAACCCGTGACGGTGGCCCCCGAAGTGGACCCTTCTCTGTCTCCCATCAGCAAAGAGCCCCGGTGCATGGTTGTCTTTGACCACTGCAATGTAATTTTGTTATTGTCTACTGTCATAGACAAAGCAAAGTGAGCGCCAATTTGCACCTTATGCAGCAGATGTACTCCAGTGGAATCCAGTGACAAGCATAGAGTGTGACGAGGAGAGACATGTCTCTAATGGCAGAAGCTTACATACCAGGAAGTGCAGTTAGATGCTGCTATTTGGCTGGTCCAGCATTTCATTTGAACTAATAGTAGAACAGTACATATATACTGCAGATCTGAAGTCTTCCTCATCAACAAATACGGTCTTTTTGACGATTTATAAATTGTAGAAGAATATAGAATTGCAGAAATTTTCCTGGAGTCTTTGATAAGGCTTTACATACATATTTCATACAATAAACCAATAAATATAGTTTAGCCCAGGCCCTTTTTCTTCTATATTTTAAGATACCTGTTTTGTCCCCTCTGCACTTTTGATCTGCCTTGTGTGATAGACACATGTCTCTCCTTCTGTCCTTTTGGTGTTCACCATGGCAAACACTAGCATAATAGTGTGAAAGGACACCATCTACTTCATCAGGTGTGGAGTGGCCTTCATCTTGCCTTTATATAGTTTTGTAGAAAATCTTGCATGATTCACATATTCTGCATCTTCTTCTAACTATAGGACCCCCATTCTCGAGGGCTCTGTTACATGCCTGTGTGTGCATTTTAAAAATTTATTTATTTTGCTAAGCTGAATAGTCACCCCTTCTATCTTGTACCAAAGTTAAAGGAAGCTTTTAAAAGTCAAGTGAGTTCTTATAAACTCGAATGATGTTATATTCCACCACCTGATGGTCAAGGTGGTTTACAAAACCAAGTAGCTTTAAAAATCAGTTAAAAATATATATAAATATCAAAGCATTTATTAAAGACATGAAATGCACAGAGACATTAAATGTATTGATTGTGATAAGGAGCAGACACTGCATAGAAAACTTCATCTGTTGTTTCTTTTTCTCTCTCTTTAGTTTCACTCAGTGGATTGGTTTAGGATTACAAGTGAAGAGTTTCCTCAGTTCTTATCAGGACCTTTCTGGCAGTTTTGCTGCCTAAGCATTTTATAAAGCTTGCACCTCTGAGCAGTTGATCTCTCGTGCTCCTGGGCATATTTCCTATCTCACACCTAAATGCATAGTCAACATTCTGGCCCCTCTAAGGCTATGAAAAAGAGAGCAAGGCACATGCATGGGAACTTATAGGAAGTTGGATGAGTGGAGCAAGAGAAGAGTTCTGTGTGAATGATGGGTTATTTCTGTCCTGTTCTGCCCTAGGAATTCTCTGTAAATGTTACTGAAGATTTTCAGGAGTATCTCTATGATGGTGCTTTGGCCATTGAAGTTTATGGGCACAAGCAGTGCGACCCTCGCAAAAACCCTGCACTGTGGGATCTAGGAATAATTCAAGCTAAAACACGAAGTCTTCGAGACAGGTAAATGAGGTAGCATCCAGCTTGTGTATGAATTGGGAACTTGGATGCACAGGTGGGTTGGGGAGTGTTACAGGAAGATAGGCTTTGAATTGTGTAACTCCCACACTTGATTTGGTGGATTCATTCAAGGATGGATGGTGGGTGTGCCTTCTGTTACTCCTTGTCACTCCCCCAGAACTTCCTGTCTTCCTGCCACTTCCTGTAATTCCTGCAGAGCTTCCTGTCTTCCTGCATCTAAGAACCAGCTGCCCAATGCCCTCCTCTCTCTTCCATCACTGATTTGCCTCCTCTCTCTTCCATCACTGATTTGCCAACCATTTATAATTCTATTTGAAAAGGAGAGGAGGAGATGTTACTTCAGTATTTATTCTTGCCACTCAAACTGACTATTTTAGAGAGCCCAGTACATGTCTCTGTTTGGTAAACTGGTGGTCTTTAAAAAGTGTTTGTAGGTGAGATTTGATACTGCCAATTGCTCAAGCATAGCCACAAGCTCTTCCAAACCGAATCAGTGCTGGATTGAAGCTTTCCTACCCCTTCTCTAAAGGGCTTTGAGCTTTCTAAGTGCAGAGTCAGGTGGCTGAAGAAGTGCTCATTCAAAAGGCAAAGTGGTCCCTCAGTCACAGTGATTTTTTCCCCCAGGTGGAGTGAAGTCACACGCAAACTGGAGCTGTGGGTTCAAATTCTGGAACTTAATGAGAATGGGGAGTATTGTCCAGTAGAGGTGATACCAGCTAAGGATGTGCATACTGGTGGCATCTTTCAGCTCAGGCAGGTAAGGCTGTAAAACTTTTTATCTAATTTTTCCCCCTCAGCAGTTTAAATGAACATATAATGGGCATCTTAGTACTGGCAAGGTAATTCAGTTGGCTTTGGGTCTCATCCTTACTGAGGCAATAAACCTATGTCTGTGTCAGATCCCTTTAGATCAGGTGCTTGCGGTGGTACGCATTCCTGTACATGTAGAAAACTAAGATGTCAGTGTTGTGTTGTAGCCTTTCCCCCATATACATTCATTTTCTCTGTGCAGGTAGTTGCTTTCTATGCAGGAACATTCAATCACGTGGGCCCCTTCCTACAGCTTAATATAGTACAACCCATATAGAGGTTTACCACTTCAATCACAGCTGGGCCTGACAATCCCATTACTGTTCAGCTGGTGGTCATAAAGTGCACAGTAATCATGTGTTGAGAAATCAATGGTCGTGCATGCGTGCCTAAACCAGACGTGTGTGGTAATAAGTTCTCATGACCAGGCAGCATGAATCAACAAGACTAGTGTCATGCTAGCCGGTGATGAGGTTGAAAGCGGGACTTCATTTAATATTCTGTATGTCTGTAGAAGCTGACCTGAGACAAGAGAAGCTGGTCTTCATATGTCTTAAAAGGAGGGCATCAGCCTCTCAGATAGGACCCCAAACACACTGGGAACAAGCAGAATAGTTTCATGGGAGCTGGCAGGTAGCTCTTTTCCTGAAGCTTTAATATCTGGGCCATTGACTAGAACCATTTAGTGGAATTTTGCCTTTCATGTTCACCTTAAGCAGTAGTCTATGATCATCGGGTTTCATATCTGAGGTTAAGCCAGTAAGCGGAGTAGAGGTTTTGATAAGTGTCAGCTGTTCAGTTTGATCCTGTTTCTTTAGGTATACCCTGGGGGGGGGTTGTCCCCATCTTCGATGATTAATATAGGTATAGCACCGTATTATTGGAAGGTTTTATTGTGATTTTAAATGTTCTATTTATGATATACTGTATTGTATTTTGCACTCGGCTTTGCCACATGTGAGCCGCCCTGAGCCTCTGGGAGGGCGGGATATAAATCAAACTAATAAAATAAATAAATAATAAATACTTTTAATGTGTCTTCGTATTTGGCGGTGTGATGGATGAGCAAAGGTCCTCCCCCTTCCTGAAAAGCACCAATGCCCTTTAGTCCATTTGGTATGTGAGCAGTGCAGCCAGCAGCCAATCAGGATCTCTGGAACAGTTGAAGGAGCCAGATGGGAGGGGAAGAGCAAGAGAGAAAAAGAATCCTAGAATCACAGAGTTGGAAGGGGCCATACAGGCCATCTAGTCCAACCTCCTGCTCAATGCAGGATCAGCCTAGAGCATCCCTGAGAAGAATTTGTCCAGCCGCTGCTTAAAGACAGCCAGTGAGGGGGAGCTCACCACCTCCCTAGGCACTGTTCCATTGTTGCACAACTCTTACTGTTAAAAAGTTTTTCCTAAGATCCAGCCAGTACCTTCCCACCCTTATTTTAAACCCATTCTTGCGAGTCCTGTCCTCTGCTGCCAACAGGAACAGCTCCCTGCCCTCCTCTAAGGGACAGCCCTTCAAATACTTCAAGAGAGCAATCATGTCCCCCCTCAGCTCAGCTCAGGGAGGTAGGGTCTGAACCTTCAGAGAAAGAAAGACTGGAGGGATCCTGTCTCAGAGTTTGCCTTTTGTTTAAGCAGGGTAATGTGTGGCGATAGGGTGCATGCCTCCAGAGTGTTATTTGGGAGCAATGCTCCCTCTAAGCTGTGGAGTCTTGTGAGCAAAAATTCTACTTTGTGAGCTACTGGCATTAAAGTTGTGAGCGAGCGATTTGGCTCCTGCATAAATTAGTTTGCTCTGGAGCCATCCTCCCTGAGCTAAGACAGAAATGTGTGAGCCGGAGGCTTAAAAAACTGTGAGCTAGCTCACACTAACTCAGCTTCGAGGGAACATTGGTTGGGAGAGAACCTGTCTCAGGAGACTGTGCAAGTCTCAGCACCTGTTATTTTGTGACAAAGCAGGTTAGCTTGAGAAAGAGGGAAAACTAGTAAAACATTTGTGTTTTATGAGAGGAGCTCACATTTATGCTGGGAGGATCCTGAAGCTGAGAGAAGGCCAATATTTACCTTGAGGATACAGACTTGGCTGCTGTTTTCTATTCTCCTAAATTATCAACTTTAATCTTACAAATCAGTGGGTGCACCAAGACTGTGTTACGTTTATAAATAGTTTCTGATCTCTTTTCTGGACCCTTTTATTCTCCTATCCCTGAGAGTAAATAAAAGTTACTGTTCTTTTTCTGTTTCCCTCATGGGTGCTGAACTTACTCAGAAGCGACTTGGGTAAGGTCTATAAGGTGGAGATTGCATAGGTTGAACTTTACATCACGCTACCTCTGTTTGAGTCCAGTGGCACCTTTAAGACCAACAAAGTTTTATTCAAAGTGTAAGCTTTTGTGTGCAAAGCATACTTCTTATCTCACCACACATGCTAAGTCGTTCTGTTCTTATTTATACCCAGAAATTAAACTTTGTTATAGAGGCCACTGGACTCAAAGTTGGTTCTCACATCTGTTGTTAACTCCTTTATTATCTGTATGCTAACTTGCTGCTATTTACATGTCCTACTATATGTGTTATTCCAGTCTTAGCTATATTTATTGCTCAGTTACTTATGCATCTTGACTCTAATCAGCTTTTCCTGGCAACTAAACCCGCCCCCGAACGTAATATTTGAGGAAATCTGTTTCAGTGTATGTGAAGAAGTGTGCACATGCTGAATCTCTGTTCTCCCATGTACATGGGGTAGAACTTGATTTGTCTTGGGGGTGCTGCTGGACTCTGGCTTCATTCTCACATCTTCTTTTTTTTTAACTCTTGCATTTACATGCTAATTTGCTGCTGTCCATTGGTCTTACTGGCCACCTGATCCAATTTCAGCTCTGCATATGTATCTTGGCTCTGAGTGGCCCCTCCTAACAGCTGCCTCTCCCCCTTTTTCCCTGTAAGTAACTCTTGAGGAGATCTTATTCCATTTGTCTGAAGGAGTGGGCTTTGCACACAAAAACTGACACTTTGAATACAACTTTGTTGGTCTTCAAGGTGCCACCGGACTCAGACTTGGTTCTGCTGCTTCAGACCAACACGGCTACCCCACCTTGAATTGTACCCATATTTAAGACCTTGACCTTCACAGCTGCTTGTAAAGCTTTTGCCAGCAGAGGTCTCCCTCATCCCAATCTTTTCCCTGCCAAAGACGTTTTCCACCTTCTGTTTCCTTGCAGGGACAGTCGCGCCGAATTCAAGTGGAGGTGAAGTCTGTGCAGGAATCTGGAACGTTGCCCCTCATGGAAGAGTCCGTACTGTCTGTCGGAGTGGGCTGCGTTCAGATCAGAAACATCAAGTCACCAAAAGGGCATGAGAATTGTCAGGTAAAAGAGTCCTTGTAACTATTAGGGTGCGTTCAGATGGGGCGTTTCAGCCGGCATAAACTGTACTGGTTGGAACCGGTGCAGTTTATGCTGGCTGAAACGCGATCACACTTACCTCCCTCACAGCGGAGCCCATCGCTGTATGCCCGTTCACAAGCTGCGGGCATCGGCGTGTTTTTTTTTTTTTAACTCAGTTTGAGCATGCGCATAGGCAGCCATGCACAGAATGGCGATCTTTGCGCATGCTCAAAACACCCCGTATTACATTTAAAGTTTAAAGGTAAGGACTTACCTTTAAAGTTTAAAGCCCAAACTGGCCTCCCTGAAGTCCCGGACTCCTCCAAAACGTTAAACTAAGGGCCTTTTCTTTTTTAAAAAAACAAATGCCAGGGCGAAGCTTCGCCCAAGTGCATATCGGCAACCTAAAAAAAATGGCGGGCGAAAATCAGAAGCCTCAGGCTTCCGAACAGAAGTGGCTAGACACCAGTGGAGAGCGATCAGACGGGGGTAAACCGATTACAACCGTTGTACTCAGGATACCACTACTTGGGGACCTAGTGGCAGAGTACAACGGTGTAAAGGGCTTTGCAACGGTTAGGGACGGAAGGCAGATGTTCTGCGTGTGAACGCCGGTAAGTTCACCGATTGCAACCGGCACCTATTCCGTTGCAAATGCCCCGTCTGAACGCACCCTTAGAGTCACACACAAAAAAATAGCAGCTCTAAAATATGCCACTGCCTTGAGAAAAGTGTTGTTGGCTTGGTAGATATTTTATAAATGGATGGAAGGATACAACAAATAAAATGACAGAGATAAGACGCTTCTTTTTAGGATGTACAAAACTTTATTTTTATATGTTTGCAAGAGAAATATACAATGATAGAAGGTGAGATATACAAATTAATGTTTGGCTAAGGTATGTGATTGTAAGTAAGGAATTTTTAAGGAGGTAATGGATACCCTCATTTATGTTACGTTTTGTCTTTAAAAAATAAGAAATTACACTGAGAAAAGTGTTGTTGGGAGCCAGGGAGAGATATGTAGAGTCATTTTCTTGATATGAACACTGGGAGTAGCAACTGCAGAATGTCTGAAGATGTGCTTGTGTCTGTGGTTCGTGCCCAGGGTGCTGAGAATGTAGAATTCCCGTTTGTGCAAGCCAATGTGGTGTGGGGATTACACTGTTGAATTTGGCCCTGGTAGACCCAAATTCAAATGTGACTTCCTGTGAAGCTCACTGAATGTCCTTGGGCCAATCATTCTCTCTCAGGCTAACCTCTCAAGACCATTGTGAGGATAAAATTGGGAGAACCATGAACAACGCCAAAGCTTCTTGGAGGAAGGATGGAATCAAAATCTAATAAATAATAACTATAGTGCCATAACATTCTTGTCACCTACCTATCCCTATGTCCAGGATTTTGTGATGGAATTGAATAGTTGATAACTTCTGTGGCTGCCAGACAATGAAAGAATGTTTAGATATCTGGTTAACACAAGGACATCTGCTTTTTGATCGGCTGATATTAAATAGTTGGGAGTAAGCACCATCGAATTCAGTGGTTTGGGTCCAGTGTTCAACTGCCAAAATGCAGTCATCGTCACAGATCTTTCCTGCATTCCAGCAGTCCTTTTGCAAGACTGGGAGGAAAAAATTTATCCCTGGGATGTCTGTGACACCCATATGGATTAACAGCTTTCTGGGTTGGGAGCTTGCAGTAGGGAAGGAGGTGGAGGCAAAACCATCCATTCTGTCTCTTCCATGAACATAGAGAGAGGCAAGAGCAATTTCGCCCCCTTCCTAGCCCACGTGACTTCTAGTCCTTGTAGGTTCTGGGAATAAACTTTCCTGGGTTTGAAAGGACTGCTGCGGGGAACAGAATGGGAGAGAGATCTTGTAATCCATGTGCCTGCAGATCACTAGATTCAATCCAGTGGGATTTACTGTTGTAAATATGGAAAGAATCACGCTGTTGAGCTTCATTTGTCTAATCTCCTGATCTAACAGCTATCAGTCTTGTCTCTGTTGGGTTTTCCTGACGCACAGTGGCCAACTGGTTGCCGTTCGTTGGCCCTCCAGGGGAATAGTTTGGCCACTGTGGGAAATGGAAGAACCCGAAGGTGCAGTGATGGGACTAGGAGGTGGAAGACTGCCAATTTATTTGCGTTTGCATGATTGTTTTTGCCTAGGAGGAAGATGACGACATGGACAGTTACCAGGTAAATATGATGCCCTTGTTTTCTCTTTTCAGATGTAGTTGTAGGCCACTTGTTTCTAATATTCCTGTGCTAGAGGAACAAAACATGGCATGTGATAGAGCACATGCAGTCCATACAGAAGCTCCCGAGTTTAGTGCCTGCCCCCTCCAGCTGAACAGTCTCAAGCAGCAGCTATTGAAGAAGACCTTTCTATGTTCAAGACTCTGGAGATCCACTCCCAGTCAGAGTAGATAGTGGTAAGCTAAGCAGGCAGGTGGTCTGTTCCAGATGTTCAACATTATGCTTATCAGTAGAAGCTATAGAATCAAGGAGTATCCATGGCTAGACTCAAGGAGTATCCATGGCTAGGAACTATAAAATATGCTCACCCTTCCCCTGCAAACATGCAGAGGAGCTGGCTTTTCACTTAAAGAAGGCAGTGTTCTAGCTCTTTATCACTGCAGGGCTTTAAAATATGTGAGCCAAACTATAGCTTGTGCCCAAGATATGTATTGTCATATGAAGCAAGCAACCAGTTGTGTCTGATTGCCCACATCTTAATTAAGACAAAATTGTCTCACGCATGGCATCATACATAGTGTGATCCATTGCTTATCAGTGGCTGCTTAGTTATTTGACACCTGGGCCTCGGGAGCTCTCTGTGTGTGCAGGCTTGGAAGCCCTGGTTTCCATTTTTTACTTGGAAAACCCACAACTTAGCAGAAATGTGTCTAAATTCTTCATAGGACAGAGACCTGGAGAGGCTACGTCGGAAGTGGCTGAACACGCTTACGAAGCGGCAGGAATACTTGGATCAACAGCTGCAGAAACTTGTTGGGAAACCTGGTAGGCAAAAACATTATCAGAATCTAAAGGAGCTCTTGGGTTGTTGGTTTTTGTTGCCATGCTTTTGTCACCCAAGTTGTAGAGTTGCGCTGCCCAATCACAAGAGAATCCAGATGAGAGCGATGAGGATGTTCAGGGGCTCTGGTTGCAGAATGTATCATAGAGATGAAATTTATTGGCTAAGTTCAGCCCAGATCAAAAATTTCAAACTGTTCTCTGGAGTACCCTGGGGTTTCTTAGAAACTTCTCAGGGGTACCACAGTGAGGAGATCAGCGATCATGGACAAGTTCTTCTGCTGACAGCTTGCCCATCAGTACCAATCTTTCTCAGCAACGCGCTGCCGTGGGAGAACGTTGGATGCGTTCTGTTCGGGCACACACTTAAGTCCGTGCAAGGTGGTGATGATGCCAGACAGATCCGAGCAGCATTCAGCATGAAACAAGTTTCCTCCCTAGTACTCTCTCCCGTCCCCACAATCCTCAGCGATGTGCAGACAGTTAGATGCGGAAAGATTTCCTTGGAGGTAGAAAGTGGTGTAACCAAATGAGGTTAAGGATTGTCAAGGGAAGGAGAAAAGATATGTTGATCCCCTGAAAACAGGAGGAGGAGGTATTGGTTACAGATTCACTGATGATAGGGATATCTGTGGCTGGTAGCCATGATTGCTGGACAAAGACTTTTGAAGCAATATACTTTTGGGGTCCAGTGCCAGGTAAGGCCGCTGCCCTCGTGCCCATCATTGTGAGCTTTCCTAGAGGCATCCAGCTAATCACCTAGAGACAAGAGTGCTGGCGGAGATGGATTGATTCAGAGCCACAGTTTCTTTACAAGCATATGCATCAATTCAAGTAAAATATTTAGAGTGCATTGAACTGTAACTTTGAACTGAGTGCTGAAATGTCTCTTATAGTTCTTCACAGAACTACAGTTTCCAGGATTCCTTCCTTGGGAGCCCTGGTTAAACTCGAAGCGCAGACATGTCCTAGGGAAAACTTTGGTGTATTGCTTAAGATCGGTTAAGAGCCAGTTTGATGTAGTGGTTAAGAACGGCGGAATCTACTCTGGAGAACTGGGTTTCATTCCCCACCTCTCCACATGAAGCCTAGTGGGTGACCTTGGGTCAGTCACAGTTCTCTCAGAGCTCTCTCAGCCCCGCCTGCCTCACAGGGTGTCTGTTGTGTGGAGAGGGAGGGAAAGTGATTGTAAGTCGCTCCAAGACTCCTTCAGGAAATGAAGGACAGGCTATAAAACCAACGCTTCTTCTTTCTAACCTTCTTGGTGTAGTACAGCGGCAGAACAGGCCTCTTAGTGAGGCTCTCAAATCTCTTTCCCAGAGACGTTTTTGTAAGTGCAGGTTTGAACAAGCAGTTTTGTTCTTCTAACCCCCCCCCCAAAGCAAGGGAGTTAAGCTTACCAGCCCATTGTTTTGGAAACACCAATGAAAGCTAAAACTCTGCCCAACTGTCGCCCTCTTCCAGACAAAACAGAAGACGACACAGACCGAGAGGCCCAGCTGTTAGAGATGAGACTGACCCTTACAGAAGAAAGAAATGCTGTCATGGTGCCTTCTGCTGGAAGTGGGATCCCTGGAGCACCTGCGGAGTGGTAGGCCCTCTCAAACAGCCATGACATGGAGTCAGATGTCAACCTTTGTTACTTGTGTAGGGGTTCAGGAAGGTGGTAAGAGAGTGGGAGTGACCCGAGGGCATGACCTTCTGACAAGAATGCTTGGCTACCATTCTGGAAGCTGGCAGAAGCTGGGGTTTACGTGCTGGCAACAGCTGCAGATGTGATGTTGGGCCTGGAGGAGGGGGATGTGGGTCTTCTGATTTCTGCATGTGGCTACCTAAGACGTTTGCAGGTAGGGTTGCCAACACACAGGTCATGGCTGGAGAGCTCCTGGGATTGCAACCAATGCTCCCTCTAAGCTGTAGAGTCTTGTGAGCAAAAGTTCTACTTCGTGAGCTACTAGCATTAAAGTTGTGAGCGAGCAATTTGGCTCCTGCATAAATTAGTTTGCTCTGGAGCCATCCTTCCTGAGCCAAGACAAAAAGCTGTGAGCCGGAGTCTAAAAAACTGTGAGCTAGCTCACACTAACTCAGCTTAGAGGGAACACTGATTGCAACCGATCTCCAGGCGACCCAGATCAGTTCACCTGGAGAAAATGGCTGCTTTGGAAAGTGGACTCTGCGACATTATACCCCATCATGGCCCCTCCCCAAACCCCGCCTCTCCACCCCCAAAATCTCCAGGTATTTCCTGACCCAGAGCTGGCATCCAGATTTACAGGATACTAGGGCAGAATGTGTTGTTCCTGCCTGACATGCTGTGTCCTTTAAAGTATAAAAGGAATAATTTGGTAGGTGCTGGGGCATGGTGGGTGGGAACCTCAGCGGTGGTCTTAGCAAAGCAAGGGAGTATCGAGGGGGCTCTTGTGGGAGACTGCCCCTCCAACACCCAGCAATGTCCTCCTCCATTGGAGAAGTGCTGGCAGAAGCTGAATGTGTGGGGTAACTATTTGCCTTCTTTTTGAGGCTACTGTACGCAGATTTCTCTCTGGAGGCCATTGCTCAACCAAAGGTCTCAAATATCATCAGAGAGAGTGCTTTAGGGGTGGGGAGCAGAAGAAAAGTGGAGGGGGGGACACCTGAATATATTTGAATCATTTCTTTGTGCTCAACATAACGAAAACACTGAAACACCCTTTACTTAAAGCTACAGAATTATTAACCAAAGCTTAATTATGATCTTCTGTAGAAACTGAATCAATATTTATTGCTGCTGCACTTTAGCTGATTTAAAAGAAAAATGTTAATGTTAATTGCCCGGTTCATTCACTTAAAAGGCTGCTCTGTACTAGTGAAACTGCATCTATGGGAACATTGCGTTTTAGTTTTTTCTGGGTTTCATTCCCTGAGTTCTCTTCAGTCAGCAGATATGCAGTGCAATCTTTCATTCAGAATGTTGATGATAAAAATCAAACCCAGACTGAGATCATCGGGTTACAGGAGTGGCAGTTACCCAACAAGCCAGAAAACTGAGCAATTAAATGTGAGAGACAGCATGGGATTCTGGTTAGGAGAGTGAGCTATGAGCCTGGATTCAAGCCTCACACCAGCCATGAACTTACCGGGTGACCCTTTGGCAAACCACTGTCTCAGCCTAATTGAGATTTCCCCCACACACACACTGTGTGAATGCAAAACAGGTGTGTTTGTCAGAGCTCTTGTGTGTATACTCAGTGGCAAACTGGAGCTTGCCTCTGCACAGTGGATGGAAATGGCCCTTAAGATTATTTGCATTGTCTTTATTTCTCTGTGCAAGTAAGTAATTGTTACTGGCTACAGAATTCACATGCCTAGGAATCTCAGCCTTTGTTTAAAAAGTGTGTGTGTGTGTGTGTGTGTGTGTGTGTGTGTGTGTGTGTGTGTGTGTGTGGCGGGGGAAAACACAAGGTTGTGGCCCTTAAAACTATGAGGGAGACCTGAAAGTGAATAGTGCCAAGTGCCAAGCTAGATGCAGGGTGTGTGTGTGATTGTGAACTATATTTGTTCTTGTTGCAGTATATAAAATATATACACCTTTACTTGCTTTATTGAATGGGTAAATAAGGTTGGATGCATGGATGTATTCCTACATTATGCAGGTATACACCTGGGTGGGCCACAATGGGGTGACAGGAAGTTGCACCCAGTCAGCGTCATGTAATATTTTCAGGAGTATGCCTAAAAAATCTTATATGTACACCTAAAGCTGTAAAATGTGAAGCGACAAATGTTTTTTCGTGATCTGCACATGAGCTCTTGCAGCCTGCAGAGCCGCCCTCTACTGGCATTGCAGCTTGTTGGGCCTTCGCAAGATATCGTATATTTGCTGCCACTTTTTTGCCTCTCACTCTGCTAATTTGGGAACAATTTCTCGATCAGCCTATAAGGGCTGGCAAAGAAGGAGGCCACCCCTGAAGTCTTCAGGCTGTGCCCGTATGCTAATTCCTCCCTTTCCTGTTATTATTATTTACGTCTTTCACACAGCTGTGAGAGCCAGCATGCCACAGTGGGTTAGCGTGTTGATCTAGGATCTGGGAGGCTCAAATTCAAATCCCCACTCTGCCACAGAAGCTATCATGGTGACCTTTGGCCAGTCACATACTAAGCTAACCTCCGCCATAGGGCTGTGAAGACAGGAGAAGGATGTAAGCCGCTTTAGGTCCCTGTTGAGAAGAAAGGAAGTAAATAAATCAAAAGAAAGTTATGTGTCATACATAATGAAAGAGTAATGCATGACGAAGAGACTGAAGAGCCGCAAAGCAGAAACTCCTCGATTTGAGTCTGTCTTTTGCTGTTAGATGAGCTCAGCTTTCTGTCTCAGCTTCCCCCGTCTGCCGTAAGGGATTAATAATCCTGACTTCACACGGTTGTAGAATCGTAGCATAATGCATGTGATGTGCTCTGACCAATCCAAAAAGCAATGAATAGATGCCAAGTATCATCATTAGCTGTAGCAGAGCTGTTTGGTACTTTTGCCCCCCTCATACATGCATTTCCAAACCATCTGCACCTAAAACTTGCAACCCGACACTTGAAATATGATGGCAGGCGGGAAGGGTGGGTTTGCGTTTAACCGTACGGTACATGCAGGAATAGGTAGGCGAAATCAACACTTCAGAAGCCAGTTCTCCAGGGTACCAAAAACGTACTCCGAGTTGAAAGCCTGCTGTAAAAATACTGACAGCGTTTGTCCTCTTGTGTTTACAAGAGTAAATTATGACAAAGTCACATTTTCCAAGGTTATCATTGCCGTGACCTACAATCGCATGGGTACAAAATGTAATCTACAGCATCCTTGTTTCATAGGGGACGTGTCTCGCATTAAATCTGCCTCAATTGATATGCCATCCTTGCTCATGTCTCTTTTCCTTTTAGGACACCTGTGCCTGGTATGGAGACGCACATTCCAGTCATTTTCCTTGATTTAAATGGTAAGTTGCCAGACAAAGAGATTAAAAGTAACGCTAAGGAATGTGAACAAACTCAGCAAAGGGAATTAAAAAAAAAAAGAATTATGCTGCGCTGCAAGGGTTGGGTTACAAGCAATCCTGCAAGTAATGGGGGGGGGGGGCTTGTTAATGGCCATTTGCTTTCATGTCACTCTCCAACAAGGGCAGTTGCATATTGCCCTCTGTTTCTAGCTTTCAAAGTTTAAGGCTTCGAGAGAGAGAAAAAAAGCATTGCATATGCAGCCTTGCTAGTGCTGCCCTGGAATCACAGTGCTATGGAAGTTATAGGTGTGGCTCTCTAGCCAGGCCAGCACTCCCCCCCCCCCAGCCACAGTGGAAAGTACCATGAAGTTGCAACCAACTTCGGGCGACCCCTTAGGGTTTTCAAGGCAAGAGACAAGCAGAGGCAGTTTGCCATTGCCTGCCTCTGCATAGCAACCATGGGCATCCTTAGTGGTCTCTCATCCAAACCAGGGCTGACCCTGCTTAGCCTCCAGAATTTGATGAGATCGGTCTAGGCTGAGCCGTCCAGGTCAGGGCCTTCTAGCCTTAATGGCTCTTGAAGGTATGCAAGAAAATGCACAGTATGAACCCGCCATCATATTGCTCTACTAATCCAGTACTCTGCTGTGGAAATGGGTACGTGCATCTCTCTGTGGGGAATGGGACTGAGAACTGGCCATGGTGCAGGTTCCATTTTCCTTGTCCCATGGTACACAGCCATGGTTTGGCAGATGTTCAGCCCGGGTCTTGCATGCTCATTGCACTGCAGAAGCTGCCCTTTTATCGGATCCCATTCCTGATCTCTGTTTTCCCTCTAGCGGATGACTTTAGCTCTCAGGATAACCTCGATGAACCCGAAGCAGGAGGCTGGGATGCCACCCTGGTTGGTGAAGATGAAGATGAGTTCTTTGAACTACAGATTGTGAAGCACTATGAGGCTGAGGTAAGGTGGGCAGAGGATCAGTGCTCTTGAAGGTATGAAGCAAAATTATACAGGGAGCCCACCTAGCTCAGTTTTGCTTGCTCCAGCTAGTAGTGCCTCTTCAAGGTCTGAAGGTCTTTCTCAGTGGCTCCTACTTGAGATGCCAGGAATGGTGTCCTCGTGGGCTGGGCCACTCTAGGGTTGAGCCAGGGCTTCCAGGGCTGTCCTTCCATTGCTAATAATGCAGGAGTATTGCCAGTAGCCCTGTGACAGAAATCAATGGTGCTTCTTTTCTGCCTAAAAGAGGCCAACTCATGTTCTCAGCTATTCACAATTCTCCAGCAACTAGCCAAGGCAGATCCATCACTACCCCTGTGAGGTCTGAAGGGGTAGGAGCTATTGTGACTCAAGGCTCATAAGCCAGCGCTGGTTGCTGGTTCACAGGCTGTTCGCTTGCCCAGCATTTCTCAGGTCCCAGGTTCAAGAGCCACCACAGCCTGAATGCTGACAGTTTATTTTAGGAAATCACATGAACTATGCATGGGTTTTGTGTTACTAGTGCTTTACATTGGCAGTCTGCTATATTTAGTTAAAGTGTCAGACTAAAGGCTGCCTGAGTGCACTTGGGTAGTTGCTCTCTCTTTCTCTTTCTGCTAAACTTGCCTCACAAGGTCATTGTGAAAACAAGAGTGGAACAGGAAGGAGGAATGTATTTTACCCTGGGGTCCTTTTGAGGAAGGGAGCATGAGAGCCAGTGTGATGTCGTGGTTATAGTATCTGACTAGGATCTGGGAGACCCGGGCTTGAATCCCCACCCTGCCATAGAAGCTTGTTGAGAGACCTTGGGCCAGTCACATACTCTCAGTCTAACCTTCCTCGCAGGGTTGTCGTGAGGATAAAATGGAGGAGAGGGCCTATATAAATTGCTTTGGGGTTATAAGTTAAGGTGGGATATAAATTAAGTAAGTTAATTTGTTAAATTGAAGATAGATATATTTTAGCTATTAAGTAGTTCTTAAGGCCGTTTAGAGTTTAAAATGGGAGCAAACTGCTAGAACGGTAAATAACCATTCAGTGAAGTATAATTAAGACAGCAGCATAAATTTGCATAATCTTAACTTCATCACCCTCAGATGGCAAAAAGATACAGCAACAGTAAAAAAAATTACAAAATTCTAGTGCAAGAAAGAAAGAAAACAATAGTTGCTATTAACACCAACCACATTTGAAGCATCCCTACCTGTAAGTGTGAGTAGACTTGGCTTGTTACTGACTTCTCCTACCTGTATTTGTGTTGCAGGTGAAGGCTGAAGCTTCCTGGGATTCCACAGTTCATAACTGCTCACAGCTCAGCAGAGGAACAGCAGCAGAGCAAAGGGTTTTCCTGATAGTGCGGGTGACGGTGCAGCTCAGCCATCCCGCAGAAATGCAGATTGTCCTTCGCAAGCGGATATGTGTCAATGTCTACGGCAAGCAGGTACATCTCCTAATGGCTCTACGGATGTCTGGGCCCCCTTGCTTGTTCGGGCCAAGTCTGTCTCATCCAGCATTCTGTTTCCAGCAGCAGACCATCAGATGCACCTGGGCAGCCCACACACAGGCCCTGAAGGTGCTTCCTCTGTTCCTTGCATCTGGTGTTCAGAGGCATAACTGCCTCTGTTCGTATGGAGTTTCCATTTTGCTGTAGCCAAATCATTCTCCATGACTTTGCCCAATCTGATTTTTAAAAGCCATCTAAAGTAATACTGTGGCAGTGAATTCTGTGAGTGAGCTTTGGGTGGGACAGGAGTGCGAAAGTAAACCTTATGATTCACATTTGCTTTGCGGGGACCAAGAACCTGCAACTTAATTTTTTTTAGTGGCACTGTGTCTCTTGGGGGATGGGGGATTGGTTGCCACTACTCTGTTCCAGCCCATACAGGGTTGTTTTCTGCAAAGGTTTCCCTGCCTGCTTTCATGTTCTAGGGTGGTCCCAGGGACACTGGAATGCACTCACAAAACTTTGCTCCTAAAATGAATGGAAAGTCATTGGTGATTGGTCCCAGTTTTGGCCTCATTGCTTCCTGGAGCATCACAGACCATCAAAAATGGCATTTCTAACACTGTAGAGGCTGAAGGGATTGGGGTGAAATTCTGCTTTCCCTTAGCAGTGAATGGCTATCTTGAAAGGAGATGCTGCTGTTCTCCAGGCAAGAGACACCCAGCTAATTAGTGCTGGCTTTTGGTTCATTTCTTTCCCTCTTGCTCTGAACTTCTGCTACAAGTGCTGCCTCTGGAGATTTGGGAAGGAGGGAATGCCATCCTTCACTCCCCCCTCCCCAAATCGTTGAATGACTTTTAGAACTCCCAGTCGGGAGCCTTCCCACTGACCCAACCCTTCTTCCTTACTGACTTTTTTTCCTTTTCTTTGACTCTTCTTTGCACCTGATTCCATGGCTGTCGCTAGAACCCCCGCAGAAAGACTCCAGGAGGGTAGTAATCAATTACTGCTGCAGCATTTTGAAGGGGGGGGAACTTTTTTTTTTCTCTGCATGGCTTCAGTGTATTGGGGATCCTTCGTGTCGTCAGCACCATTTGCTTCCAAAATAGATATCTGATCCCGGAGTGATTTTTAGGGGCAGCATTTGATAGGTTTTCTGGGCCTTTTCTGCATGTTAGCAAAATTTTGCTTTGGCAAATCTATCTTGTTGATGGGTTGTCCCATCTTCTGCTATGCAACCTATTTAATATTGTCGGAGTGATACTGGTGGCAGGTACCTTTTCTGTTGCTTCGGTGGGTTTTGCTTTGGGGGCTTGGCTTGGCTCAGCTTGGCTCATTCAGTTTGCTGTAAGATAGCTAGAGGCATCTAAAAAAAATGGAGGGGTGAGTGGATTCATGGGATTGCCAGCCTGACATAGCTGGTTGTGTGAACAGGTTCTTGCCAGCAATGGCTTTGGACATAACAGTAAGGCAAAGGGAACCTCCATATCTCTGCTTTAGTGTTTGCAATAACAGGAACCACTTTCCCCCATAGAGTCATCCTTGTAAACTCAGGTTTCTAGGGGAAGCTTCACTCCAGCCCCCCAGCCCCTGAAGTCAAGCAGGTAGCTGTTAAGAGAAAGGCTGCCTTGGTCTTGGTGCTTTCTTTGTGGGATGTTCCTCCTTAGTTCACCTGGTGCACATTTGGCTTATGTGCTCTCTTTACCTGCAAGAGAGCAATAAAGGCTTCTTAGGACACAAAGGGGGAGTGACCTGGGTGCGTTATATCGTGACTGTCTTTTCACTACAAGTGTAGTTTGTGCTGTCTTCTACGGTGGTTTTGTGGGATGGCTTTGTCATCTCAATATAATTTTAACCTGCATTTCTTGTCAGCCTCCATTGTAGGGCTGTGTGAGTCATGATATAAATTCTGCAGGTAAATTAAGTGAAAACATCCGCTGCAGGGAGCGATGGAGCATTCTTCTAATGAGGGAGATGGGAAGGATGTTCACAGGGAGCAGGAGCCGAACGCCTCGGGCTGCTTGCTCCCTTTGTGGCATCGTGGTATCCAAAGAAGCTTTTGGCTGGATAACCGGTTTCCTTGACATGGGATGATGAAAGGAACCCCTAGAATACACTTAACATGGATGATTTGCAGACACCTGTGGCCAGTAACTTTTTGGTAGGGCCACTTTTAAAACATATTGTAGTCTCCAGCATCAAACCACCACAAACCCCTTCTTTTCAGAATGGCTTTTGGGCAGGTCCTGATCAAGCAGACAAGAGTTCAGGGGCTTTCCTGTAGGCCAGATTTCCCATCTGAGATCTGTGACTGGATTCTCTGTTTACTATAATGATCAAAAGCCCCTGTCTGGGGCCAGTCTGGTTTGGACGGGAGGGCAGTAAAGCTGTTGGATCCCGTATGGGTAAAATGCTGTTTTCAGTGTGAGAATCTGCCTTTTTCCCACTACCAAGGTGAGTAGTAGCTCAGGAGGCCAATATCTATTGAATAATTTAAAGGGGAGGATATGGTAACTCCCTCCTTTATGCTATGACCCCTATCCAAATCAGCCCCGCCTCAACAGTTACTTTCTAAAGTTATATAATTACACAATGCAATTTTGAATTTCCCAAATGTTTTCCAAATGTCCCCAGAATGTGGTGCATTCAGAGCAACGAAAAAGACAGCGAGACAACCTGTAATAGCCGAAAGTTCAAAGTAGGTCGTTCCCTCAAAGAAACCGGTAGATAACCTCTTGTTGGTCTCTAAGGTGCTGCTGCACTTGAATCTCACTGTTCTACTGCAGGCCAAACACGGCTGGCCCCTGAAACTGTCCACAGGAGATAATTGCGTTCTTGTAAACAAGAACCGGAGCTGCGGTGGCTCAAGTGGTTAAGACGCTGAACTGCAGGCTGTGGAAGGTCGGTAGTTCAGCAGTTCGAGACCCGAGTGTGCCGCATGACGGAGTGAGCTCCCGTCTCTAGTTCCAGCTCCTGCCAACCTAGCAGTTCGAAAGCAAGAAATTGCAAGTAGATAAAAAGGTACCGCTTCGGTGGGAAGGTAACAGCGTTCCGTGTGCCTTGGTGTTGAGTCATGCTGGCCACATGACCACGGAAACTTCTTCGGACAGCGCTGGCTCTTCGGCTTTGAAACGGAGATGAGCACCGCAACCCTAGAGTCGGATTCGACTGGCTTTCGAGCAAGGGAATCTTTACCTTTACCTTTAAAGAAGAACCAGAAATGAAAACCAGCATGACACGAGAAACTGCCTTCTAGTGAGCAAGGCCCATTGGTCCGTCGAGCCCAGTTCTGTCACCATTGGCCAGCTGGCAGCAGCTCTCAAACAGAGACCTTCTCTAGGTCTGGTGCTGGAGGATGGGGGGGGGGGTTTGGGTTTTTTTGAGATGTCAGGTCTTGAACTGGGGACCTTCTGCTTGCTTTATCATTCAGTTGTGGCCCCCACCCTGCCCCCGCCCCTGTTCCATAGAAGGGCTCTGCTGGCTCAGTTTGTTCCAAGCCATCAGCCTCAGTCCTCCACGCCTGCCTTTTTTCCTGCATCCTTCTCAGCTTTGTAGGGCTTTTTAGCTATTCTCTGCCACAGATATTTAACCCAAATGTATATTTCAAGACCATATCAATAACCTTGCAGGGCAGCCAGTCTTTTTACAGCATTTCAGAATGACTCATCTCTGCATTAATTCAGGAGTCGGATTTTTAACCTCAGCCGAGGCACCCTGTCAGCATAAACAATGTCTCTGCCCCTCTTAAATCATTCTTGGTAATGATCTTTGCGGCCAAGGATTTAAAGACTAGACTTGTCTGTGATTCAGAGCACAAGTAACCCATGCGCAAAACAGAGAGGAAGAAGGGTAGTCACGCTGGTAAAGAAGTAACTTTGCCAGGCTTTCTGTTAGAATGCAGACACAAACTTTGTGGTTGGGTCAGACATTTACTTCCTGAACAGTGGGCAAAACAGATCCATGCACGCACATGTACATATACACACCATCAGTGTTCCCTCTAAGGTGGGTTAGTGTGAGCTAGCTCACAGTTTTTTAGCCTCCAGCTCACAGATTTTTGTCTTAACTCAGGAAAGATGGCTCCAGAGCAAACTAATTTATGCAGTATCCAAATCGCTCGCTCACAACTTCAGAGCCAGTAGCTCACAATGTTGAATTTTTGCTCACAAGACTCCAAAGCTTAGAGGGAGCGGGGCTTTTTTTGTAGAAAAAGCCCAGCAGGAACTCATTAGCATAATTGGCCACACCCAACATCAGAAATGTATTAGCATATTAGGCCACACCCCATGACAGCACAGCTTATTAGCATATGAGTCCACACCCCTGTATTACCAGAAGTGTGCTCATCCAGCCACACCCACCTTTTGCTTCTTATTCCGTTTACCTTGTTTGTTGTCAAAACCCAGGGCTTTTTTTGTAGCAGGAAATCCTTTGCATGTTAGGCCACACACCCCTAATGTAGCCAATCCTAATGAGTTCCTGCTGCTGGGTGTGGCCTGTTATGCTAATGAGTTCCTGCTGGGCGTGGCCAACTCTGGAGCCAGCCGGAACTCCGTTCCTGTGCGTTCCTGCCCAAAAATAGCCCTGAGAGGGAGCATTGCACACCATGGTAAGATATGGGGCCTCCTGAAGCATGCTCAGTGTTGCAGATCCTTCCACCTTTTTGTGGGCTTGGAACCGTTATGAAAAGCTGAGTGCGTCCTGCAGTATAGCTCTGTGTGCCAAATCTTCAAAGGCCTGCATTGGTTTTATGAAAAGTGCAGGTTGTTTAAATATAATGATCAGGTCAAAGCTTGTCAGTTGGTTGATAGCCCTAGCTTGGAACAGGCCTGTGCAAGGATCCACTGAGAGTAAAGGGTTTTCTGGAAGGCGAATAGCCTCTACTCTTCCTCTTTAGTCAAATAGTAGCTGCTTCTTTTTTCTTTCGCTTTGCCAAGTTGATGTTGCTTTGCATATTGGCTTAATTTTGGCGACAGATGTACATATGTGGCTTTCATCCAAGGCAGTGAAATTTCTTTTTCCCTCCCTAGGGGTTTGCTCAGAGTTTCCTGAGAAGGATGTCCTACCGAAGTTCTGTTCCTGGCTGTGGAGTCACCTTTGAAGTAGTTTCAAATATCCCAGAGGTGACTATTTAGATAGTGAGGTTTCTTTTTGTGGTTGTTCGGGGGAGGGGGGACAGTAAAGGAACATTGCTACTCAATCCACTCAACCCCTTCATTGTTATTTCAAGTTAGAGTACATTAGCTTTATCTTATAGGGTTGGTGCATTTCATAGAATCACAGAGTTGGAAGGAGCCATCCAGGCCATCTAGTCCAACCCCCTGCTCAATGCAGGATCAGCCTAGAGCATCCCTGACAAGTGTTTGTCCAGCCGCTGCATAAAGACTGCCAGGGAGGGGGAGCTCACCACCTCCCTGGGCAGCTGATTCCACTGTTGCACAACTCTTAGTGTAAAAAAGTTTTTCCTAAGATTCAGCCAGTACCTTCCCACCCTTAATTTAAAGCCATTATTGTCCTATCCGCTGCTACCAACAGGAACAGCTCCCTGCCCTCCTCTAAGGGACAGCAATTCAAATACTTAAAGAGAGCATTTGGTTGAAGTGTCTCTGCCAGCATCTGTATTCATACACGTGGCTAATGGGAGATGATTAAATGTCTCTCTCGGTGTCTGCAGGGTCGGTTTCCAATAGAGTTGCTAATCTTACTCTAGCCGGTGATAACTGTTGGTTTTGCTTCCTTCCAGGATGCTCAGGGAGCAGAGGAACGTGAGGCACTAGCAAGAATGGCAGCCAATGTTGAAAATGCAGCTTCAGCTGACTCGGAAGCCCACATAGAGAAATACCTCCGGAGTGTGCTGGCTGTCGAGAATATTCTTACGCTGGACCGACTGCGCCAGGTTAGTTAACTCCAGTTCAAAATTCTACATGCCTGTTAGCATCCAGTGGATTGTAAAACTGTGGTTGATGCATTAAAACTGGGTAACTTTTGTGGAGCTGTGGTGGCTCAAGTGGTTAAGACGCTGAACTGCAGGCTGTGGAAGGTCAGTAGTTCAGCAGTTCGAGACCCGGGCGCCGCAAGACGGAGTGAGCTCCCATCTCTAGTTCCAGCTCCTGCCAACCTAGCAGTTCGAAAGCAAGAAATTGCAAGTAGATAAATAGGTACCACTTCGGTGGGAAGGTAACAGCGTTCCGTGCGCCTTTGTGTTTAGTCATGCCGGCCACATGATGACCACGGAAACGTCTTTGGACAGCGCTGGCTCTTCGGCTTTGAAACGGAGATGAGCACCGCAACCCTAGAGTCGGATTCGACTGGCTTTCGAGCAAGGGAACCTTTACCTTTACCTTTTAACTTTTGTGGAGATCCTTCAGAATCCTGGCAGTATTTTTTTCCCTAAAGAGCAAATTTCTAGTCCTCATGTTTGCAAAGACAATATATCAGCGGTGGTTTCGTGATGACATAGAAACTAGAGTGAACGTGCAGAGAGTAATGACCTGTGTCAGTATTCCAGAGAATGTGTGGGATCTAACCTGGTAAGCCTTCCTGGAAAGGAAGTACTGTCACACAGGTGACATGTCCAGAAATATTTGTGCTCATTGTTGCTTCCTTTTTTTATTCTTTGCCCGTAAAGAAATGGGCTTCAAATTATGGGTTGCGGGACACCAGAAGGGAACAATATCAGTTTGAGGCATGTGGAAACCCCACCCCCATCCACCCTAGAGGATGTGTTTCATTGAAGGCCTCAAGTTCATCTGTGGTTAAAAAGATCTCGCACATGGCAACTAACCACCCCCCCTTTCTGTATGTAATGGTTGAGGAAATTCTGTTTCACTGGATCTGAAGAAGTGTGCTTGCACACATAAGCCTATACCTGGTCACCACACTTAAAAAAAGATATTATAGCATTGGAAAAAGTACAGAAAATGGCAACTAGAATGATAAAAGGGCTGAAACACTTTCCCTATGAAGAAAGGTTAAAGCACTTGTGGCTCTTTAGCTTGGAGAAACTACGACTGAGGGGTGACATGATAGAGGTTTACAAGATTATGTATGGGATAGAGCAGGTAGAGAAAGAAGTACTTTTCTCCGTTTCTCACAATACAAGATCTCGTGGGCCCTCAATGAAATTGCTGAGCAGTCGGATTAGAACAGATAAAAGGAAGCACTTCTTCACCCAAAGAGTGATTAACACATGGAATTCACTGCCACAGGAGGTGGTGGCGGCTACAAGCATGGACAGCTTCAAGAGGGAATTAGATAAGCATATGGAGCAGAGGTCCATTAGTGACTATTAGCCTCAAGGAATAGATAGGAACTCTCTGTCTGGGGCAAGTGATGCTCTGTCTTCTTGGTGCTTGGGGGGGGCAACAGTGGGAGGGCTTCTAATGTCCTGGCCCCACTGGTGGACCTCCTGATGGCACCTGGTATTTCTGGCCACTGTGTGACAGAGTGTTGGACTGGATGGGCCATTGGCCTGATCCAACATTGGCTTCTCTTATGTTCTTACCTTGAATAAAACTTTGTTGGTCTTAAAGGTGCCACTGGACTCAAACTTTGTTCTACTGCTTCAGACCAACATGGCTACCCATCTTGATCTATGGGTTTTATTTAGACTTTTCTCCAGACATTCTCTGCATGCAGCCCTGTAGAGCCACTGGTAGAGTAGATAACACTAAGGTCTTATAAGGCAGCTTTATGTTTACAAGCAAAGATGCATAGGTGGGTTGAATGCCCTCAAGGAGAGGATCCTCATTCACTCTGCTTCTCTCTGCCCCCATCATCTCATCTGTTTTGTTCTAACTGGGTTTCTTTGTGTGTGACTCTCAGGAGTGGGTGAAATCTTGTTTATTGCATTTTCTAATGCCAGTGTTGGATAAGAGCCCCTATATTAAAACAGTTTTTAGGCAGGATGTTTGGTGCTGGATAGGAGAGTCCATCTATCAGAATAAGTGGGGTGGGTTAGCTGAACAAGTTTGAGGGCTTACCTGGATGAGATCAGACACCAGAGATTCCATGGCCAGATCTCTCAGTGTGTTTAATTTCATTTGAAAGCAACCACAGGGGACCTGTATTTGAATCTCAGTTGCGGAGCTGGTACAAGCTGGGGCATTAACTCTTCTTCCACATTACACACAGTTCCCCACCCCCACCCCCCACTTCTGTATTTTCCCTCTATTGGCAGCCCAAGGGAGCAAGCTCTGGTCAGTAGAATGGCAAACAAGAAGGAGAAGTTACCCTCCCCTGTCTAGTCCCATGGCTCTAATCCAGAGCAACATACTGTGGATGCTTTTAAAATTAGGTTAAAGTCTCTGGGAGATCCAGTCAAGAATCTTTGATGGATTGCCTAGTTGAACCCTGAGAAGCACTGCTCTAAAATTAATGAAGAGAGGGTGTACTTAACTTGTACAGCTCAAAACTTGTCTTTCCTTGCAGATTCATTCTTATGATTGGTGATTCTTTGTTTTCAGGAGGTTGCCATCAAGGAACAAGTAACGGGTAAAGGAAAGCTGTACAGGAAGAGCCTCAGTTCCCCAAATGTCAATCGAGTGAGTGCCTTTAGTTGTGTTTAAACCCACCTGGAAGTATGGGGGCTGTAGGTAAAAGGGAGGGGCCCTGGCTCAGTGGTGGAGCATCTACTTGGCATGCAGAAGGTCCCGGGTTCAATCCCTGGCATCTCCAGTTAAGGATCAGGTAGCAGGTGATGTGAAAGACTTCAGCCTGTTTTCTGGAGGTCCACGGCCAGCCTGATTAAATAATACTGACCTTGATGGACCAAGGGTTTGATTAAGCATAGGGCAGCTTCATATGTTCATTAACCTTAAGTGAAGACTCAGTGCCCATCCTATAGGGCTGATGAGGAGATAGATGGATGGCAGCTCTTCAGCTGGGATCATTTTTGGTTGGCATTCTACCGCACCATACCACTTTGGAGGCTATGCAGATACTGGTTCCGCTGTCATCATTCTAGGCTCATGGCTGAGTTGCACATCTCTGCGTGCTTCTGTTGCATAGCTATCAGGGCAGTTGATTGATGGGGAAGCTGCATAAGACATACAGGAGTTGGGGGAGGCCTTTGTTGTGCTAATAAGCTGTCAAACACAATGCTGGATTATCTGATGGGGCAGGTGCAAAATGCAGTAGAAATTCACCTTTTGCTTCTGGTACTACCTTGGTCTTCACTTCCCCTTGCTCACCTATATGTTTCTACATTTGGTGCCTCAAGAGGGGTCTCCCTTTTAAATTTCTCTCCTTTTGTTTTTATTTTTACAGCTCTCCGCAAGTCGCCAAGATCTAAATCCACCATATAGCCTTGCTACTTCCAAAGTAAGTTTTAAAGATTTTATTAATGGAAGTACATAGAAGGTTTTGAAGAGTGCATCCCTGCCTGTACAGGAAGGACTGTGCTATGTAAAGGGATGGACACAAACCAGCTCACAAACTAACGTTTGTCTTGAATTTTGGCTGATTCATCATTCATGAAGCGATGTTTGCGAACTGAAGAACCGCCACAAACTTCTATGCATTTTGATGCAGTTTGTGGCAGGTCTTGAAGAGCAGAAAGCAGGAGTTTAAATGGCTTGGAGCCATTTAAACCACTGCTTTCTGTTGCCTGCCGAAAGTGTTGGGGAGCAGAAAACGGGTTTAAACTTTAAATGGCTCACAAACTGGTTCAGTTCACAAACTGGCATATCAGTTCGTGGTTTAGTTTGTGGTTCAGCCACAAACTGAACCACAAAAATGAAGTTTGTGCCCATCCCTAGCTATGTACACACTGTGTCCTGCTGTACTGAAAGGTTGTAATAGGAAGGATGCAATTTTTCCTTTCAGAAATAAGCAGTGCCGGACTTCTCTCTCATCAAGCTTTACATTAAGAAACTGAATTTAGAAACTTTCGAAAGTTTTCATTTTCCCCAGTCCTGTTCCTAAACTAAATTCTTTGCCTTGGATCAGACAATTTTGTTAAAGCCTGAACTGGTAAGAAGGACTTAATTTGAGCTTGCAGTCTCAAGGTACAAAACCTTTTTTCAGTACTGGGTGGCTCAATTTTAAGAATATGTGTCTGGTATGTCTACTTGAGCCTCTTAAATTTAACTTAAGAGATTTATAACTTGTCTTTCCATTGGTTGTTCTCCTTTAGTAGAAGACACGTTGAAGATAAGCCTCCCTAATATCCCCCCCCCCCCGAAGGATAACCTTTTCTGGATAGTGTTAGATTTATGTTAACTCTTTATCTTTTCACCCACTTGCAAAGAGCTGAAAGGTGCACATAGAAAGTTCTCAAGTGGTGTTTCATTCAGGTCCTGGCCAGGTTTAAACCAGGTTGAGATCAAAATGCATTCAGACCATTCTGAGGGCTGTATTTCTGGGGAGCTTAGATTGCTAACTCATTTGTTGGTTGATTCTTGATGGAGCCTAAAACAGATCTTGTAATTTACATGTCTCTGGCCAAGATTGCTTTACAATCTGTAGAAAAAATCATCTCCAGTACAATCCTGGAGTTTAAATTCTGTTGGAGTAAATGGGATTATTGTCTTGCTGCCTGCCTGCCTGACCTCTCAGCATCCATTAATTGGAAGTGTTTTGTTGCAGAGAGTACTTATTTTATGCAATGAGTAATTACATTGTAGAATTCATTGCCAGTCGATACAATGATGGCCACAAGCATAGACATCTTTAAACGGGGATTAGACAGATTCATGAAAGTTGGGAGAACCTTCTCGATAGACCTCTGGATACTGGTGTTCGGAGGCAAAATCAGGGGAAGGCCTTGGCTTCTATGCCATGTTTGTTGGTCCTCCAAGGCAGCTGATTGGCCACTGTGTGATACAAGATGCTGGACTAAGTAGACCACGGGTTTGATCTGGCAGGGCTACTCTAATGTTCTTATGCAGCTCTAAGCATTCGGGACCAAAGAGGTCCTCTGAACATGTACAGTGCACTTTTCTTGTAGCTGAGTACCCACAGCCACCTCTTACCATTCAACTAGACTGATCTATCCTGTGATGAGTTCCTCACCTTCCAGCCATACTAGGAGATGCAGCTCACCAAGTGAGTTGGATCCATCACACAGTTAATTCAGTGGAAGAGGAAACTCTCCGCACGATGGGCCCCAACACACATTGAATTCTGTTCATTATATGGTCAGCACATGGGAAATTTAACTCAAGGGAAAGAACCCCAATACTGTTGATCTCAGGGATTCCAGCCTGCATTGTATAGGGAGGGAGTATTGAAATGAACAAATGAAGGGCAGCCTCTAAAACAGACTTGAGCGTAGGAATCTTTTTTTTTAATGTATAAAATACTATCACATTTTAACAGTTGCTGCAGCTGAAATCAATGGGTCTTGCAGGTTGGATATGGCTGGATTTTGTGTTCAGTGGGCTGGATGCATCAGAAGAGTCACAGAAGCTGTTGGCAGGGTGGATCATTCCCTGCCTTCCTTTTCTCCGAGCAGCCTTCCATTTGCCCTGAAACTCCTCCTGTGTTGAGAATCGGGAAAGCTTCACAAGGAGGGAGAATGAACCATGGGACAGGAGGCTGCAGTGATTGGGGGGGGTGTTAAAGTAAAATCTCCTCTTTTTTGTCTCTTCCATTCACAGCTTGCATCAGCAGAAGAGGGGGAAAGAGGTGATTTTACTTGGTTTTCCCTGCAGGTCCCAACCCTGTGACTCAGTTTCCTTGCAAGGCTCTCCCAATCCTCAGAGAGGAGTTTCATGACATGCTTGGGGGAGAACAAGGTGGGGAAAGATCTGCTCCACCAACACTTTCTGTGAACTCTTCTGGTGGACCCATTTATCACTTTCACCAGTTGTGAGTGCTGTATGCAGTAAGCAGTGACTTTGGTGTTACTTTTTGCTTTTCGAGTATTTATAATTGAATGTTGGGCTCTGGAGCGATGGTCAAATGCTTTGTGAAAGCAGACTGTCCCTTTAAAATATAGTACTATGGTGAGGAGCATTCATAAATAATCTGAATTCTCATTGTTTCTCTTTCTTTTTTATGTTTGTTTCCTAAACCCTTCAACGGTATCCATCCCTCATTGCATGTATCAGTGTCCAAAGGTCCTGGCAGAGGTAACTAATTCATTAGGTCCACCTAATGAATGGGATAAATAAATCTATTATCCCAGTCTGGTGTGCTCTACCCTAAACCTCTTTGCTCTAATCCTTATAGCCTGCTTTGGAAATGCAGCCATTGCGCTCCCTTGCCTCCCTGTCCTTCGTTAAACAAGGAGTAAGGGTGGCATGAATGCTGGGATTGGGGTTTTTTAAAGTTGTTAATCCTGCCTGCTTAAGAGCTCTCTGCTTGTGAGCTGTTGTCAGTGAGATCTTACTGCTGATATATATGTGTGTGTGTGTCTGTGTGTGTGTATGCAGAGATGGAGCTTTAGATAATAACATAAGCCAAGAAAAAATGGGCACCTGTCCCAAGGAACTTGCAAGTATGTGAATGTGTTACAAAAGTTTGTCCTGTGATGGTGATTGAGCACAAGTACAGTAAAAGCTTGGCTAACTGGCACTTGGTTAACCAGAAAGCAAAAGTTACGTGGCGTGCCTGCTGAGTAAAAGCTTTGTTAACTGCCACATATTTGATTAGCCGTCAACCCCCATTCCCCGTGAATACCAGGTAACAAAGCTTTTATTGGATATGCATTTTTGTGCGTGTGCGTGGATATGGTCCATAGTCTCAGCACTCCAGTTTGGTTCTGTAATTGGCCTGAAATGTCATGGTCTTCACAAATCCCATATACTGGATTCTGGCGAGATGATGAAAATTGGAAGTCCCTTTGTCCAGTGTGGGATGTGCGTTAGATGTCCTGTGAATGCATTTGCATGGGCATGTATTAAATGCTTGTTTCCTAGCTCTTTCTGTATACCTCAGAGGGCTTAACTCAGTAGGGGTACTGGTTTGCAGTGGATCCAGCCTCAATATGAACAGTGCCAGATTTGGTCAGCGTCAGTCCTGTTTGTCTTGTGATCCATGGAGCCAGTTGCCGTGCACTAGCCATATCTGGGGTTCTGTAAGATGCCTGATAACCCTTCTGTTTTACAATCCCAGGCGGGCAGCAAAAAACAAGGGGAAGGGGCACTGACTTGGTGGTAGAGCATGCACAAGGTCCCAGGTCCAGTCCCTGGCATCACCAGTATTAACACGATCATATAGCAGTATCAGACGTGAAAGACCTCTACTTGAGACTATGGAGAGTTCCTGCCAGTCAGAGGAGGCAGTACTGACCTTGATAGTCCAGTGGTCTGACTCACTTATAAGGCAGCCCTTCTGTATTGAACTGGAAATTTATCAAGCCACCAGTAGACTGCCAGCCATTTCAAGTGCGCTGCATTTGACTTGGGGAATCACAGGTTCTCCCAGCCTAGACCCATTTGCAGTCCTGTTGGCTCTTCAGAGTTTGGGGGGGGGAGAGAAGGGGGAAATTACACATTTAGTTAAGTGTCAACAGACGTATCAGATAAAATGGTGATGTATTTATTTTTTCTTACTGACAGTGTTATGCAAAAGGAAGGGCTAAGACATGTTTGCATCAGCATTGGTGAGAGGGGGATCTGTTAAGTTGCAAATTTAGCAAACAGAACAAGAAGTTGACGAGTGTTTCTAAATGTGGAATCCGCGATAGCAGCTTTGGAGTCATTTTTCTGATGCTCAGACCTCAGGCTGACGAAATTAGATATTCTTTGCAACTAGCACAGCACCCCCCCCAAAAAAAAAAAAAATCACCAAGATGCTTAAAAGTGGGATTCCATTTCAGTGGCCAGTTTGGTGGGGCCAAAACTGATCCTGAGCAAAACCTGGACTTGGCCTGGCCTGGGATCATTCCTTCTAAAGACAACTTCCTGAATTGGGCCAAGCTGCATCTAGTTTGGCATTCTGTCCCTTACGGTGGCCTGGACAGACACTTTCTGTGAAGCCCATAAGCAGGGCATGAAAGTGATAGTCTTCCTCTGTGTGCTAGCAGCAGCAGTTCTAGATATTTTGTTTTTTTAAAAACTGAAACAGAGCAATTTAGTGACCAGATGGTAATTGATCAGAGTTTTGATGACTTGAATGGTTACTTCCCCATCTGATTGGATCTCACAAGATGTTAAAAATCTTACATGCTAGTTGCTTCTGCTCAGTCACACACACACCCCGCCTATAAGCTATTTAGAGTGGAGGTCTAGGCAAATGGTCAGTGTAGAAGCTGATTCTCCCAGCTGTTTATCTGGTAGGGATGCTTTTGAAATTTTCCCCATCTGAATTCTTTCCCCAGATAGTTCTGGGTCCCAAATCACTTGATGTATTTATTTATTTTTTGTTAGAATTTTTCTTTCTTCCATTTATGGGCATTGTTTGAATAGGCACAGTTTGCAGCAGTTCTCAGCTCACTTCTTCCTCCCCCCCTTATGTGCGACCAGTGCGCACTAGTGTTTATCCACGTTGATTTTAAAATATCACACAAAAAGATTCCATGAAGCATTCACTTGACCAAAGGCAAAGGAACATGCAAAGAAATCCGTGTAGGAGGGGATTCTGGAATAGTTTTCTAAAAGCAGTGTGCGCGTTGATTAAATCAGAGTCCTTTGGGGTTGTGCCTGAAATCAGACAAGGGCTGCAAGTGCAGCAGGGCTGGCATAAGACTTGGATTTTATTTTTATTCATTTTTGCACTGACTCCCCTGGATGCTGCTGGAAGCAGAGATTTGACATGCGCTTGGAATGTGCCATAACGTGATGCCACCTAAAGGCTCCTGTTGCCTTTGCTTTTGCTTCCTTGCTGTTCTTTCTCCAAACTGTAAATAGGAAGTGTTGAAAGCCTTGATAAGACGCCAGCATCTCCTTCTCCCAAAGCTGAGTTTGGCCCTCCCAGAGCTGTAATTGTGATGTGCTGTTTCTCTGACGAGAGGCAGCAGCCGAGGGTGAGAATAGCAACCACAGAGGAAGAGAAGCAGGGTGCAGGTAGCAAGCAGGGCAGTCTGGGGAGGCTGATGGGGGTGCTGGGCCAGGGTGGCCAGGCCACCAAACACAGTTTGCCCCCGGGTGGGTTGCTGGGGGCAGTTGCTACTCATCCCGGGCGAGGGGGTGAGATTGGCAAATTGCACAGCTTTTGTAGGAGATGAACTTAAAAAGGATCTTGTAGAAAGTATTGAGATCTCTGTGCAATGACCTTGTGCCCTGTTGTGAGCCAGAAAGCATGATGTTCTTAAAAGGTGGCTGTTGAGAATTAGTTTAATGAGGTCTGACCTTGCTGTCCAGTCATTTGGCAAAGATTTCTTTATCCAGACAAATAATGATTAGGTTTTCTTTCCTTTCTCTGTTACAATCTTTTTAGAGAGTGTGAAGTGATAGGGCCTTATAATATTTCTCTGACTTAGTCTGGCTTATGGCAACAGTGATGAGTTCAGCCCACCCAGTTCTTCCGAAAGAGTGCTAACTTTTGCAGCCCCCAGCTGGGGCCAGGGTGTCCCAACAGATCCGTTGAGTGAAGGTCTCCATAGCTGCCTCTCGCTGGACATCGTGGATCCTGTTTGTCCCGCCTCCAGAAGTTCATTGGACAGCTTCTGATAACTGTTGTCAATGACATCAAGTGGAACTAATGTTGTTTTTTGTCGGGGGAGACTCTCTAGCTGTCTGAACGGATACAGGGTGGCTGAGAGACGACAAAACAGCACAGGTTCTGTTATGGACTTTCAGCCTGACTGTCATTAGATAGAAGTTATGGCACAGAAATAAACAGCAGATCTGAAAGAGAGGAAGGTTTGAGAAGTTCCACAAAGACATTACACTTTTGGCTTTCTAATTCCCATCATTATTTTTAAAGCTCTTAATCCTCCTTGCCCACTTGGTGTGTGCAAAATTCCTTCACCTTTCCTCTCACCATTTGGGTGCTTTATTTTAGAAGCCCACAAAAATTCTCTGCATTCTTAAGCCTTTATCTAGTGCTGCTTAAATCCATGTTCCCAACATTATAGCGCAAATGACAGAGGAAGGCTTTTTCCAGACCAAACGTTGTTCAACTTTGAATCCAAACCCTTCTGAGGTCCAGTGCAATGTTACCCTTTGCCTATGGGGCTGCAGGCAAAGATTGGGTCTTTAAGCATTATCGCTGCTGTGCCCCATATACTTAGGCATGGATTAAAGCAGCAATAAAACGTTCAGCAAAGGGAAGGACAACATTAGTAGACAGTGAGTAGGCATCGCTAGGCTTTCTCTTGCACTGTGGCAAATCTGTCCCAAATACGAGTCCTAACAAATGTCTTTGCAAATCAGATGTAAATCTCTTTCCAACATGGCCTCTATGTTCAGTGCAGCTGTTATCAGAGTAACAGGAGAGCAATATTGTAAGAACACTATTTACTTTATAACCCACCTATTTTGCTGAGACGCAGGGTGAATTACAGCATGTAAAACAATACTATCAGACTCCATAAGACCATCAGTGAATAATTTAAAGATAGATCAAGATGGGTAGCCTTGTTGATCTGTAGCAGTAGAATAGAGCAAGGGTCTAGTAGCACCTTAAAGGCTAAGAAAATATGTTGCAGGGTATGAGCTTGCATGAGTCACTGCTCACTTCAGATACAGCTAGAACGGGAGTTCATACCATACAACTAGGATTACAGAATTAGGAAAACAATGTGAACAGGCACAGATACACGTCAAACAATGAAGTAAGTGGAATTAAAAAGGCAGAGGACAATGCAGTAAAAGCAAGACAATACCTACAATAATGATTGCAGTAGACAGCCTGAAAAGATCAAGCTTATCTCAACAGTTGGCAATACAGTTGTTTTTTTTTTAAAAAGAATTGCTTATTTGTGTCATTCTTTGGGAGTGCACAGACACTGCAGGAAGACTGGCATAGGGGCTAGATGAATGTCAGGGAGCGGTTGTGGCTTAGCAAAGGGCATCCATATCTCCTCCAACATTGGCTGGGAGGTTCTCTGGGACAAGGATTCTGTTCTTCCTCGCTTGCTTATTCTGTGTATCATTTGTTCTATGTGTGTTTGCCGTTACCTTCCTGAGTGTTACTTCTGAATTTTCCTTTCTCTCCCCCACCCCCTTTAAATGTTTGGTCTAGAGTCGTTGGGAAAGCCAGCAAGACATATCTCAGTCTTCAGCACATTCCAATAAATCCCGGACGAGTCTCTCAGGCTCTGCTCAGCAGAACGGTTCCAATGACCCAGGTAGGAACACAAGGAACTCCCTGCTAGATCAAATAATGGTCCTTCCTTGTCTAGCATCTTCTCCCCACAGTAGCCCACCATAGGCTTCTGGATGCCAAAAACAGGGTGTGGGAGCCCTGCACCAGCGTTTACTCCCCGTCCTTCAGGGGATGTAATACTACTCCTGAATCTAGAGGTTCCATTTATCTGTCATGGAGAACAGTTAGAGGGGATTCCCTGTGAATTTGTCTTACCTCTTTATAAGTCTATCTAGTCTAGTGGCCTCCACATCTTGAGGCAGAAACTTTGTGTCTGTGCTGTGTGAAGAAGCGCTTTCTTCCATCTGTTCTGAGTCTACTGTTCATCAAGGTCATTGGATAGCCCTGGGTTTTAATCCCCTGATCAAGAGAGAAGGAAAAATTATTTCTCCCTCCTTAAGCATAATTTTATAAACCTTTTATCTTATCCTCCACCACCACCACCACCCCGCTTAGTTGTCTGCTTTCTAAACTGAACACGTCTCCCCACTTCTCCTCCACAGGAATTTTGTGGCACCTTAATGACTATTCTTGCAGAAGCTTTTGTGGGCTAGAGCCCACTTCATCAGATGTATGTAGTGGGTCCCCACTAGGTAGACAGTTGTATATGAGGTTAGGAAGGTGAGGGCAGATCACTACTGCATGGTGACTCTGCTTTTTAAAAGTCACTTGTTTTTTTTCCAGCAGCATGCTTACATGGCTGCTGTTATAGAATTATTCTCCTAGATAAAGAATACTCCCAAGGTTCAAGGCAGCTGTAGCAAACAATTGCAGAGTAGGCAGTCCTCATTTGCAAACATGTGGGTTCTTTGGAACCCTAAAAAGCTTTAACAAAAATGGCTTAGAAGCAGTTCAGGGTAAATGTTGATAGCATCATAAGTATTCAGGAGGAAGAACTGAAGTTGTGTTAATTAGTTGTGTTTGTTTTTTATTGACAGGACTCAGTAGCCTGGCTGCCTCATACTTGAATCCCGTGAAGTCCTTCGTGCCTCAGATGCCAAAGCTGCTTAAATCTCTGTTTCCAGTTAGAGACGAGAAAAAGGGCAGGCAACCATCTCCCCTTGCACAGCAGGTAGAGAGAGAGAGAGAGAGAGAGATTGGATTTATACCCTGCCCTTCACTTAGAGTCTCAGAGCGGCTTACAAACTCCTTTCCCTTCCCCTCCCCACAACAGACACCCTGTGAGGTGGGTGGGGCTGAGAGAACTCTGACACAAACTGCTCTTTCAGGAACAGCTGTGCCAGAGCTTGTGACTGACCCAAGGTCACATCAGCAGGTGCAAGTGGAGGAGTGGGGAATCAAACCCGGTTCTCCCAGACTAGAATCCGCACACTTAACCACTACACCAAACTGGTACATGAGAGATTGCAGAGGATACCAATGGGGGGGGAGGTATTTATTTATTTATTTATTCATATGGATATCTTTATCCCACTTTTGTCCTGCGAAGCAAGACTCAAAGTGGCTTACAAAAGAAACTAAAAAAAATGAACAATCTAAAAATCACAATACAATAAAGCACAGAAACAGCAGCCAAGAGGAGAGACTGAGCAGGTGAAGGAACTCAGCCCCTGATGGAATCTCCACTGTCAAGCAGTAGCAGCACAGACAGCTTGCCCTTTAGTAGATTGCTTGCACTTCAGCGGATTCACAGGACTGGCAATTGGAGGCTACTGTTGCATAGATTGTGTTGGGTTTTACTGTCTGCACTGTGAATTTGCCAACTGTTATCTTGAGATGAACCAAATTGGGGGGGGGGGGAGTTCTCAAGCAAAGTACCATGCTTCAAATTACCATGCAGAATTAGTATTCTGATTTGGATTAGCGGTACTGTTCCCAGCTATGGAAGCTGTCAGATTCTGGGTGGGGTTTTTCTACACATTGGGGTAATCAGATTTAAATGTCCTTCCAAATAAAACTTGGGCATTTCTGGGCTCCCTGGAGCTCCTTGCACATTATAGGTGCTTAAATGCATGTTAATTGATATTTCTGTCTGTAGAGGCAATCCATGTGGGTTTAATCATACTGTATGGCTACTCAGCTTGTGACATGCACAGCTGAGCACACCCCACCAGTGAAGAATGGTGGCCAGACTTTCCACAAATCTCTGACTATTTCAGTTGTGAACTGCAATGACCGGGGGGGGGGGGGGGGGAGCAGTTACAGTAGCTAGGCTACAGAATATGGCTAGCAGGCTTGTTTGGTTGTCTAGTGGGTGCAAGTTACATTCACACTTGTTCTAGTGAGTGTGTCCACCTGGATTCAGTTTCCTGACCCAGTTCAAGACTGGGAGCCACACTGAGACCACAGAGACATCCATTGCGGTGGGAGAAATTATTGTATGAATCCATCCCCTAATGGAGCACATCGAGAATGTAGAAAAATGCTCAGATTTCATTATGATAAGAGGTTAACAGCGATGTGATCTGAAGTGCTGGACGACACCTAATAGATTAATTGTAGTGCAACCCAAGGCAGGTTATTTATGAGCAGCAATGAATCTCGAGAGCAGGGCAAATGGACAACTAAAATAGGAGATAGATGATGCCAATGTTGTTCCATAAGAAGTAATGTATATTGATTAAAGGTCTTCTTAGTGTTTGGGGTCATACTGACTCAGAGTCAAAGATCATGGAAAGTCAGTGTCTGGAAAAGCATCCTAAAAGGTTCATATCTTCTCTTTTACTTTGAATTTTTATTTTTGAGTGCAGTCCCCTAGTCTTGTGAATGCTCTAGCAAATATCTGAGGTGTTGTGATAACACTCGACTGAACTTGATGATCTTAGACCTTACAAGATGTGGTCGTTGAGTATGTGCCTTGTCCTTTTGGCTACAGATGCAGGTTCCTGATCCAAAGTCTGTAGGTTCAGGTGTCATAACGAGACGCACTCCAAGGCGCAACACATTTTCAAAGCATGTAATTTTATTCTGAGTGTGTCCTCCTTCAGAGAGGGAATGCTGCCAAATAATGGCTTTTTGATGTCAACTCTTATTCTATCAACTCTGTAAAGGTTAACTTTAATATTAGTTGTTGAGTTGCATGTTAAATAAATGCAGTAACATGTATTCTCATGAGGCTGGCAACACTGAATCAAAGAGCTTCAGACCCCAGTTTGCAGATATCTGTTATGAACTGCTTGCTCACAGTGGGTCAGGTATAGGCTAGCAGACAGGAGATAACTTCTTAAGCTATTCAGTTAATTGAAAGTGTCAGAACAGTTGAGTTTTGCATTACTTTTCCCAAAAAGCCTTTCAGTAATGCAGCCTGTTAAGATCAGCCATAGTTGCTCTTGAAGACCTTTTAAGCATACCAGTTCTTTTCCAAGTAAATTACTAGCAAGCAATACTCAGTAAACAAATGCCCGTTTAGGTACAAATGATTTAACCCAGTATGTTAAAACCAAGAACAGGTACCAGGCAAACAGACAAGGGGAGAATGGTGAATAATGAGGGGCCACCACTAGGCTCGTAGACAGGATTCTGTGGCTTGTGGGGCAAATTTTTTTCTGGTGAGGCTGATGTTCTCGGTGCAGAAAGAAAAGCCATTTAGCCAATAGAAAGCTGTTACCAGGATATCTCTAAACTGCAAGCTGTCAGCCACTTTAGATGACAATTCTCAGTTGCTGCAAGTTAATCACTTCTGCCAGCCTAAGCAACAATTCTGATAATAAGCCGGCAGGTGGGGGTGATGACTTCCATAGTCAAGAAAGCTAACCCTTAGTCAGAAAAACTCTGTTAAAGGAGACCAGTTTCTTGACACAGAGTTAGAAGAGATCCTAGAGGTCATATACTCCAACCCCCTTACTCAGTGCAAGAATTAGTTGACTACAGCACCCCACTCTGCTTAAAGGAGTGCACGCCTTTAAAAATGTTTTAAAATGATTGAAAAAAGCATGGGATGGGATGGCCCAGTATAAAGATCTCGCTAAAGTATTGCGATGGGGTCGGGGCTGTTGAAGCAGGCTTTTGGGTACATCTATAGGTCACCATCTGATTTGACTGATTTGATCAAATTGGTAACATCATTGAGCACTTTATTTCTGTTAAATATGGTTGATTTTATGCTGTTTTTAATGTTTTATTTGGCACATGTTGCCCTTATTTGTAAGCCGCCGCCCATTAGCGGGTGGGATATACATCTAATAAATAAATAAATAAATTTACAGGAGGAATTCTTGTGGGGCTGTGCCTTTAAGAATGGGGGCAGAGCTGTCAAAAGCCCCATCATAGCTATGGGCCTGGCTACCACAAAAAAAAAAGCCACCCACCCCACTTGGACCACTGGTCTGACCCAGCAGGGTTGTTCTTATGTTCACTTCCGCAGGTGGGGAAGAGACTTAGCAAACCTTCAGTGGGTGGGGAAGAGCCTTAGCAGATGTCCTGAATTTTCAGGTAGACCCACAAGGTGGGAATAAATAGTTCTTTAAGTCCCTGGTCCCAAGCCATTTAGGGTTTTAAGAGTAATAGCCTGCGCTTTGAATAAGGCCAGGGATTTAATAGGCAACCAGTGTGGTGCTTTTACTACTGGTGAAATTTGTTCCAAAGAATTCATACCTGAGAACAGTCTAGTTGCTGCATTCTGAACCAGCCAAAGCTTCCAAACAGTCTTAGGCTTCTATTTTAAAGGCACCCATCTCATCTGTGGTCTTTAACCTTTAATATCTGTACTTATAAATGATGCAGTTGTTGTTAACGGCAAAATGATTGTAATCCAGATTCATATACTGCTGTTTTGAGTAGTGTTGGTGACCTGTCTTTGGGCCTTTTAAACAGTGGTCTTAAAACCCCTTACACCCCTCATCTAACTGTTTCTCCATGTGTGTTGGACATATTTTTTTGATCACACCACAGTATTTTTTTAAGCCCTTGAGGTGAGGGTTTCATTTTCCTCACCATGGCTAACGTTACAGATGCTCCAGCATCTGTTTGTAGCCGTGATCAGCTCCCCATGTTGTGTAGTTGAGCCCCCTCATTGGGCTCCACTTGTCAAAGGGTCACTGGATTCTGCCATCTTTGTGTGCCAATTGTGTTGGCAGTAAGCCCACTGAACAAAGTCTGCAGGGCTTTGCATCCTTGTTAATCCTAACGGTTTATCAAGTCCCCTGCACTCTTTCAGCCCTAAAGGGTCCTACCAACAGGTTCATTTCTGCCTTTGGGTTAGGCTTACCAAACGCCGGCGGGGGAAATCTATTTCCTGGCAGGATGCGTGCCGCGGGGACGGCTGTGCGCGCTGCACCCGCCGTCGCCAGGATGTGACGCTCCGCGTTACTCTGGCAACGGGGCTGTTTGGGGTCCCGTTGCCAGAGTAACGCGGAGCGTCACATCCTGGCGACGGCGGGTGCAGCGCGCACAGCCGTCCCCCGCGGCACGCATCCTGCCAGGAAATAGATTTCCCCCGCCGGCGTTTGGTAAGCCTACTTTGGGTACTCCAGGGACTAAGATTCAGTGTTTATTTATTTGCATTTCCACCCAATCTTTCTTCCATAATGGAACTCCAGATAGCATATGTAGAGTTCCTGGCGATTCCCTTTCCAGCACACTGACCAGACCTAGATCAGCTTAGCTTCAGCACCATTACTGGCTTGTGTGCCTTCCAACCATACCCTGGAACCTACATTTATTTATTTCATTTATATCCTGCCTTTCTCCCCAGTGGGGACCCAAAGCAGCTTAAAGCGTCCTCTTCTCCTCTGTAGTATTCTCACAACAACCCTGCGAGATAAGTTGGGCTGAGAGTGTAAGACGGGCCCAAGATCAGCCAACAAGCTTCCATGGCAGAGTGGGGATTTGAACCTGGGTCTCCCAAATCCTTGCCCATCCTTGGCAGTTTAATGACCTTGGCATAAATGATCAGATGCTCACTTATGGTTGGAGGTCACATGATCCAACAACTTGGCTGAAATAAAGCAGGTCGATATCTTGTCAGTACCTGTACAGGACTCCTGGGAATTGTATGCAAGGCACCTTGAGTTCCATGGTAGAAGAAATGCAGGGCAGAAATGCAATAGGTTCAGGAATTATTTGTTATTGTTTTCCTAAAGTAGTGTTGTTGTTGTTGTTGTTGTTAATTTG